TGAAAAATGTTGTGATATACCTCGATTCCTCTGCAAGAGGTAGTTGGTGATACGCTTTGTGAAAGGTCCAGCTTGTGAAGTACTTCGAACCATTAAGCTCTAGGCTATATCATTCACTGTGGGTATAGGATATCTAAACACCTGTCTATGGCTTGGTTAGCCATCCTCATGTCCACACAAATTCGCACTGAACCATCTTTCTTCGGAACAGCAACGATGGGTGAGACCCATGGTGTTGGCTGATTTTCAGGTACTGGCTCTATGATATCCTGTCTTTGAAGCTCCTTCACAGCGTCCTGTACTTTCTGACGAATGTGAAATGGGATTCTCCTTGGGGGTTTGAGCCTTTGGTATAACCCTTGATTAATGTTGAGCTGCACTTCAGTGTCTCTGAGTTTTCCTAAACCTTTGAATACATCACGATATTTATCCAGCAAAGTTGAAAGTTTCTCATCTGTTACATCAACGGGCTTAATTGCACTTAGATTCAAGCTGATAAGTCCTAACTCCTGTGCGGTAGCCATGGATAGCAGACATCCTGAATCTTTGCTGTCACAAACGTAGAATGTTGAGACACAATATTTTTGCTTTGTTTCGACAAGGAGCTTCAAATTTTCCTTTGAAACAGACGGGCTGTTTTTGAAACTGAAGGCAAAGCCTTGGCCTTGGTTGGACGTAATTCAATTCCCTCTAATTGTTGAAAGGCTGTGTTGTCCAACACGTTGATGGAGGCGCCGGTATCAATCATTATTGATATTGGCTTTCCCGCAATAGAAATTTGTGTCTGTAGGACACCCTGTGATTTCTGTCTGTATTGTGTAAACGTATTCATCGTCGCTAGACTGTGTCGAATAATTCAATGGCTTGACTGAGAAACGTTTGAGGTTTGTTTGGCCTACCGGATTTCGGTCTCTTGTTCCTGAGCTGCCTCCGCACATACAGCTGCAAAATGATTCGATTTGCACATTACTATGGCATGTTTTGCCATACGCTGGGCATTGAATCCTTGGGTGTCGTGCACACCACAGCTTCCACATTTCGGGGGTACAGTCAATTTTTGTTTACCTGCTTGTTTGAAAGCCGTAAACCGATGACTGTATTGTTGCATGTCTTCTTTTGACTCAATTTCCTTCGCTTGGAATTCGCTCATTTTCATCCCTTCTGCCATCAAGTAACATATCTTTTTAGCGAATAGTCTGGTCACGTACGCTTTTCTTCTAATTTTGTTAGAAATGCCTCCAACAATTATTTGTTTCCTCGATTTCGAAGTCGGTATCCGTAAAGGTAACAATTGACAGAAGATGTCGGAGCGTGTGTGAAAATGATCTAAGGTCTTCCCCTTGTTCCTGGCGAGTTTGGCGAAACTTGTACACTTCATACCGACGGTTTGTTTTGAGGGCTCGAATATGCAGTGAGTTTATCACGAGCCAGGTTCATAATCAGCGGCAGCGCCTGTATCAGGAAATCTGGCTGAAAATTTCGCGAATCGGGGAACCTGCTTGATGAAGTAAAAATGCTCGTTTGCGTCCAAAGATCTCTTATACCACTGGCAGAATATTATGTATCCACACATTGCGGTTTATATCGTTACAAAAGATTAGCATATGGAATTAATGCTAGCGCTGAAATCTTCCAACACTCGCTTCAGCAAAATCTTCAGGGCATCAAGGGTGTGCAGAACATAGCAGATGACATAATTATTTTCGGTGTCAACAAGGAAGAGCATGACATCGCCCTTGAGAAATGTTTGCGACGTCTACAAGAAAAGGGATTCACGTTAAATGCGAACAAATGCAAATTCTTGCAACCCACATTAGACTTCTTTGGACAGATATTCTCCGAAAAAGGGACTCGCCCAGATCCAAAAAGAATTCAGGATTTGCAAAACGCTTCAATTCCAAAAAATGCAAGTGAAGTGAGAAGTTTGTTGGGAATGGCTAATTATAGCTCCAAATACATCCCAAATTATTCAACAATTACAGCTCCATTGAGAGATCTTATCAAGAAGAACTCGATCTTTTCGTGGAAAAAGGAACATCACAATGCGTTTGAACAGGTAAAACGAGCGCTTACCTCTTCACCAGTTATGGGATACTTTGATATAAACAAATCTACTAGTCTGACAGTTGATGCCAGTCCTGTAGGCATTTCAGCCATCTTATCGCAAAGCTCAAAAGAAAAAAAGGACCATCAAGTAATTGCATATGCTAGTAGGTCCTTAACAGATGTGGAAAGTCGTTATTCCCAGACGGAAAAGGAAGCTTTGAGCATAGTATGGGGCATTGAACATTTCCATTTGTTTTTATATGGTCAACCTTTCACACTTGTCACAGACCATAAGCCTCTAGAGATCATATACGGATCGCCAAGCTCTAAGACATCAGCCAGGATAGAAAGATGGGTTTTACGCTTGCAGCCATATCAGTTTACAATTAAATATAAACCTGGCAAAGAGAACGCTGCGGACTACCTATCTCGCCATCCATCTGCTAAAACATCAAAAGAAACAGAGTTCACTGAGGAATACATAAAGTTCGTAACTTCTAATGCAGTTCCTAAGACAATGAGTCTGTATGAGATTGGTAAAGAAACCAATAGCGACAAAGAACTCCAGAAACTTCGCGCCGCTATTCGCTCAGGTGCGTGGGAGTCGGTCGATTTGTCATATCGAGCAATCAAAGAAGAACTTTCGATCGGTGCTCAGAATATTATTCTTAGAGGCTCAAGAATAGTCATTCCTCTATCTTTACGCCAAAAGGCAATTGACATCGCGCATGAAAGTCATCAGGGACTGTCCAAAACAAAAGCTATGATCAGAGAGAAAGTGTGGTTCCCAAAAATAGATGACTTAGTTAAAGTAACGATTGATTCTTGCCTTGCTTGTCAAGCAACAGGTAAAGAAAACAGACCAGAGCCATTGCAATTGAGTGAATTACCAACAAAACCATGGGAGAAACTACACATAGACTATTATGGACCACTGCCAACAGGTGACTATCTGGTAGTCATTATTGATCGTTACTCGCGTTTCCCAGAAGTAGAAGTTGTTTCCTCTACAAAAGCTTCAACACTTATACCTAAACTAGATCGTATCTTTGCTGTGCATGGAATTCCCGACAAGATACAGACGGATAATGGCCCTCCTTTCAATGGAGATGAATTCAAGCGTTATTTACACATATTGGGAATAAAACATGACCGAAGTACTCCAAATGGCCACAAGCAAACGGAGAGGTCGAACGTTTCAACCAGCCGCTAGGCAAAGTTATTCAAGCAGCGATCGTGGAAGGAAAACCGTGGAAGCAAGAATTACAAAGGTTTCTTCTACAATATCGCACAACACCGCACTCTACTACGAAAGTTCCACCGTGCGAACTTTTGTTCAACAGACAAATTCGTGGAAAGTTCCCAATACTGAAACGGAAAAGTATTATAAACAAGCACAAGATCGCTCGAGAAAATGAAGAGAAGTCACAGAAATATCAGAAGATGTATATTGACAAGAAGAGACACGCGAAAGAAAGTGATATAGCAATAGGAGATACGGTACTCGTGAAACAACAGTATAAGAACAAGTTCTCATCAAGATTTGATAAAGCCCCATACAAAGTTATCCAACGTAAAGGGACGATGATTACCGCGGAGAACAAAACAAGACGTATCACAAGAAATGTGTCACATTTCAAGAAATTCCCTGCTAGAGTAGATCAGCATGAAGAGTTCGACAGTGATATAGAGCAAGAGTTGAACAAAGAAGGAAATCAAGCAGAACGCGAACACAGACTTGGAAATAACGCACGCCGTCAATCAACAAGAGTAAGGAGTCAACCGGTGAGATATGGTGATCCGATACCATCAAGATTTATTCGCTGATTTTTAAAAAGGGGAAGTGATGTCATAAAGTGAACCTTCATTATTATTATTATTATGAGTAATATGCTGAACCTTGCTTTGGTTGCCCTGTGCAACAATTGTTTTGTTATGCTTTGTTATATTAAGAAGGGTGTTATGAAATTTTAGTGGAGTTGTGTTTTGGGATTCGAATATGAAAGTAAACGAAGTGTCTTCTATATGAATTGGCCTACGGAATTAAGAGAATATAACACCCCCTTGAACCCAAAATATGAAGAGTAATGCCTGGTCTTGAAAATATGATATGTGACACCGGGATATAAATTCCTGTTCAAATTCTGTTGAGTATTTGAAGTTTTGCAGTACCAAAGCTTTATCCTTAAATCAATGTTTGAGTTGAATATTACCTTAATTGCCTTTTTTGTCCTCTGCAGAAACATCGTGCTCTATATTTTCTTGGCTTACTTGTCAGTTTCAGCCACATCAGTATTTGTATTTGTATTTGTTTCTACCTAGCATCCGAAGGTAGTTTTTTGGACACTAAGAAGCGTATGCTTATCGAGCGGTCCTTCCTCTCGATGTGACCACACCTTGTGATTCCTATGCCAAGAATTACAGAGAGCTCTCCTCACTCTGGGTGAAAGTTTGGTCATGCCAGGGTCTCGAACCACGGAATCTTTGGGCCTGTAGTCAACGCCTCTAACAACTGACCCAACCTCGCACCAAATGTCAGTATTTATCTTATAATGCTTGATGTCAGGCAGAATTGTGGGGTTTCGACCAGAAAAAGACTCGGGTTGAGATTGACGCTTTAAGAATAGTTTTTGTTTTGTTTTTAGGAAATATTGAAGCAGATGCCAGATGGAGACCTTCAGAATTTCATAAGTGACGAAGGAAACAAGAAAAGGTAAACAAGTTCTGTGCTCCTTAAAAATCCTTTATTGTTGCTTTTGATATATTCTTTAGCTTTATTGTCTTGTTTAAACTCTGAGGAATGTTAGGCCAAAAGTTTGTAAGTATTTCATGTTTCCGCTTTCCCTTGATATCTTTAAACGTGTAAATGTTTAATTCTTGTTGCCAAATTTCCCGTAGCAATATGATCAATGCTGTGCACTTAAATGCTTGCCTGTTTATTCCTTCTCTGCTTCAAACCTAAAAAAGTAAGAATTCAAATACTATAGCTTGAGCCTGGTACATCTTGGTAAACCTTCAGCCTAAAGTGAACACCGTGTTTTTGGTAACAGATATTATATTAAGAAACTGACTTAAACTGTCCTCGTTTTGAAGGTTTCCACGACTGGTGATGCTTATAAACAAATCTCTCAGCAAAGGCTCTGCCGATGAAGTTGAAGCGAGACTAAGAAAACTTTCACACCCGCTGGATATTTCGAGTGTTCAACTTGAAGGATACACAGCATCAAAGGTCATTTGTTTATCTATGTTTGTCTTTTTACATATCATCAGACAAATAGTAAGAAAAGCCATTCTCATTGCTAATATTTTTACTACTTCAGTTTTACTACTTGTAATGATCGTTTTACCTACATTATAATTGTCATGCAGTTTTCTAAATTGCAGTACAAGGAAAATGAAATGTTTAAAATCTAAGTTCGTTTTACTATTTGGATGAATAACTAGTTGGCCTCATTGCTAGAGTAGGTTTGAATTGCCTCTAGCTAGAAATACCCTAGTTCATTGTACAAACTATTTTTATCAGTTTTAATTATTTAAACTTTAGCAATTTTTTATAATCCGTTTAAAGTTTTCACATTGAGAGATTTATACATATTGAGAGATACACTACTTACAAAAACAATGTACAATACTACTGAGACGATACCCTGAGGAGCAAAAGACTATCATAAGAGTGGTAAAGCTATTAGGCTGTAAAAGCTTTTTTCGACTGGGTAATTTGAAAGAAAATTATAAGAGAAAAAGCACTTGAATATATCCAAAGTTGGTTATAGCCACAAAAACACAAAGCCCCCCCCCCCTTCCCTTTCAAATCACTGGCATTTAGCATTGGTCGTAAAATTTACGAACCATGAAACAGCGATTTTAATCGTTTAGAAAGGTTCGGGTCTTTTACTGACTATATCTCAACCAAGTTTTCCCCATACTTGCAAACATTTATTTGTACCTTTTTAACTTTGAGTTTTACTTTTCTGGTTAGGAGTGGTTCGTTGCTTTCGTGAAGAAAACTTGCTTCCAGTCACATGAGCTCAGTCCCGAAGATATGGGTTGCGCAGCGGCTCTTCTTGCATCACTAGATATTGACAACCTGTCCTCGATCCTCTCAGAGCTGGTATGGTGTTTTTGATTACTTTTTATACTGTCGGGCTGACCTTTTTATTAGAGTTCATTGTCTAACTGCTTAAATAGATCGAAATGTTGATGTTAGAAACAACTTAGTCATGAGTGTTTGTTTATATCTCTTTGTTCTTTAGAGCAACATGGACTGTTTTTACGTATTATTAATAAGATAGAATAAAGTTGGATGGAACTGATGGATGCTGGACGCCTTTTTCAACTCCTCTTCATTTTTGGAAATTCTATGCCAGTGGTTTATGTAAATGGCTTTTAAATGTGTGCCCATAAGGTATCTCAGTTTTTCCATGTTTTCGTGAAGTTTTACAGTCTGTTTGAAAAAGCAATAACGTTTTCTTAACCCTGAACAGGACCTGAACATGGAGATTTTCCATCTTTGTCTTACTATGGTGATTAAGGCGTCTCTGGATAAAAAGAGCACCTACCTAGAGGTAGCTATGTCTTTATTTTAGTCCATTGATTCTTGCAGCAAAAATTGAAATTTCATAGATATTTGCAAAAATTGGAATTTGGTTTATTCAAGAGACAAATAGAGTAGCTATGAGGTCACCTTACCCCGTCCTCTTTGGGTATAAATTTGGGGCCTAGGGAAGGATTTCTTGTAAGAGGGGTCTTTTTTATGCTTTTAACGCTCGTTCTGGAGTTACAAAATTGATTAAATGGGATGAAAAATTTACCAAAGTCTTATAAAAAAGAACCATTTCGTCCAAATTGTTGCAGTGATGGTGCACTTAGTTATTTCCATTTTTTCAATGTCATCTATCTGAAGCAATAAGAGAGCTTAGATTAAGGTTACTATTTTCAATGTACCATGTAAACTGCCAACTAGTAACCTTAACAAAGAAATTAAAAAATTGTTATGGGATTAATGGAAATGCAGCGATTATGACTGGAGAAAATTAGCCCTTTTTCAATAGCATTTGTTTCGCCGTGGTAATTCTTGAAGGAACAAGTTTCTACCTTGATCAGAATGAAAGAATGTAATTCTTCTTGTAATTGGACCTGTATTTGTTAATTCCTTTGTATTTTATTTCTGCTTTTATTAAGTTAACTCTTTACCTCATTGGCAGGAACTTACACAGTCGATGGAAGTTTCTAGCAGTCCTGAAGTTCAAAGCAGTCAAAAATTGCTAAGTGCCTGCAAAACGTATTTACTCGCAGAAGTAACAAAAGTTGTAAAGGAATGCGTTAAGCAGAAGGAGATTAACAGAGTCAGTTTTATTGAAGATCATGTCAAAGATTCACCTTTGGATACCATGGCTGAAGCGCAATCTAATCTGGGCGCTCAGAAATTCATCGTGATAGCAGCAAATGCAATCGAAAAGTTTTCTGGTGACAAAACTTGGTTGAAGAATTTGATAGTAATCTGTAAATGCGTGAGAGAATTTCTTGCTCCGTCGTGCTACTGGAATAAACATTGGATATTGAACAGGGAGGACCTTGTCTCGTTGTTTGAATTTGCATTTGTAGCCTTAAGGGTGAGTCACTTTGGTTTGTTTTTTAAAATGTCAGTAAGGGTATCCTCTTCATAGCTGATGTGACATGGTTACGGTTGATATGGACCACTATGAAATATATCTTTGTTTGTATTCGATATCCCTAGACTTTTGCAGTGTAACGATAGAATTGAATTTAGCAAGGCTTGTTATATATGACATACAGAATTCTCACAGGACTTATTGTATATCACCGTATTTTTTTATAATCTGACTAGTAGAGAGGACGAATCCAAATTCTATGATTCTCTTTGTAAACATCTAGTAGCCACCATGTTTGTTCCAATAAATACTTATTATTTTTTTGCTTTCTTTTAGGTATGTGCAGTTTTGTCGAGTAGAAAAAACGTCTTGATCTTCTCAGACCTGGTTGCCTGTTTAGAGTGTTTAGCCACGGTAAGGAAGCGAAAATTCCAGAGTTAACATTCAGTATTGTATTTACTTTCAGAGATAAAATATGGATAAAAGTTGGCTGATTAGGTTTTTCAAAATATCTTTATTGTAGCCTTGTATAGTTTCTAAAGTAGAGCACAAAATAACTTTTAATTTGTCCAGGCAACACAACAAAACTAGGTTTTAGATTCTTGTAAGGCCAAACTTTTCCATTTCATGTTCCTGATTACTCATTTAGAGTGAGGGTAGATACGACAACAGTGGGTTTCAATCAAGATTTTCAATTTCAAGTAGTTTAATGTCTAGGTTTGGAGACAGATTCAGGCCTGGCCATTTAAGACGAGCCATAACTCTTGCTCCCTTAAAGGCTTTCCACGATTGCTGGCCGGGAGCTACAGATTGCTCTACTGAATTATTTCAAAACGCAAATTGCTCTCATCGAAATCAATTTTCCCTTTGCCTTTATTTTTATTTACCTACAAATACCTCACTAGACATTACTAGAAGTGCTGTTTACTGCCCCCTTTACTTAAAGTCTTATGGCCAGGCCTGAGATTTAGCTTATTACAAGGCATTGAGCGTATAAATAGGCACCTTCTGCTGCTTTGAGTGCTTGATTCATGAAACCATTGAGAACCCTCATCATTAAACCGTGCAAATCATCCCCCCCCCAGCTTTAGCATTTATCTAGAACAACTACAATGCTGTTGGCGTATTTTATTTGCCCGTATTACAGCAAATTGTTATATTCTTTAGGTCCTTCATAGTAGAGAATTTAGAGGCCTTGTGAAGCAGGAAGTGTTTGCTCAGTTACTGGCCAATGGAATCAGCGATGTATACTGCATTGTTTGTGCCGGTTTGTAGCATAGCTGTTTGTTTGGACTTTTAAAAAAATCGTTAGAACTAGGTTTTAGCATAACTGGATCTTAACGTTTTATTAGCTCATTTAGCTTGTAACCAATCATTAGGCTTCTTTGAAAACCATTCTTGCTAATAAGATGGATTTGAAAAAGATATCTGTTATTCAACGCCACTGTGTGTGGAGTTGCCAATGTTTTTGGATCAAAACGATCAGACCTCTGTAGATGAACATGTCCTTGCAGTAACCTGTTTCTGCTTGAACTCACGTTACCGTCACCATTAATAGTTATTTCAATTTTAACTAAAAGGCATTAGGTTTTAACTAATCCTCACTTAAGTTACCTGAGTTACGTACGTGAGAAATGGTTTTGATGGTTTTGAGTTTGCACATAATTTCTATTGTATATAGCGAAGGCTTTTGCTTATTCGGTAAAACATTCTCAAGTTCAAATACCCGTATTTTTATTTCAGTTACCCTAAATCCTGGTGAGACTCTGGCTCTTGATGTAAGCTCATGCCAAGGCCAGACACCCTTTGCTGAAGGTAAATCAGCTATTGCATATGAAAAGTTCTTTGAATCTATAGAATGGATGCCTAAAGAGGTTTAGCCCAGTGGTTAAGGAATATATGTTGTTCCCTAAATTATTAACTTTATTTACTTATGTGAGATTTTCAGCAATCTATCGCGAATTTTACCTTGTAATGATAATTTCTCTCCGTAGAGGCAAATGTTTACACCAAGTCTTGCCACCGTGTATCCGAACTGGTACATACTCTGCGAACTTACTTCAGTCTTAAGTCATTGAAGACATCTTCGTTGCCATTTGCTGTTGTGAATTCATTGAGACAAGTCATAATTGGTGTGGCAAGAATACCTTTAGTAAACAGCTTCGTCCGAGTCCCTCCCGTGGTGTGGAAGTTTGGTTGGCAACCGGTTTTAGAAGGAAACTTTAAAACAGAGCTCCCTCCTCTTCCAGTTGAAATATTAAAAGAGAAAGATGTCCTAAAAGAGTTTATTTTTCGAGCTAATGCTATTGGTAAGTGTGGGGCTTTTTTCTTGGTCTACAGGACATGAGGTTTTCAAACATTTTCAGTAGCTTTTCGAGTGTCCAAGTGTCTAAGTAAGTTTGCTTTGTACTGTTGCCCTATTGATCTGGTGTTTATTCATCAAATATACCTATTGATCTGATGCTTGCTAATTGGTTGAAGAGGTTTATGGTTTAACTGGCTAGCCAACTTTCATAGATGAGAACTACTCGATCTTGACATTGTATATATTTTAAGGTAATTCCTATAATCTTATTCATAATCATAAACCTATTGACAGCTAGCTACATTCTAGTAGACCGCAACTAATAAATAAAAACTATTTAAAGCATAGAATATATCGAATTTGTTGCGAATCGGTCTATTATGCAACTCGTAATGTGGGATGAATAAACATAAGTTTTAGTTTGGGATAAATAAGGAGTACTGGGATAATTAAGAAAATCATAGGCCACCTTTTCCTTCAAACGAACAGCTTATTTGTGTGATAAATAACCTGGATAATAAAGTTTGGGATTGTAGATGACTAAAGTTTGGGATTGTAGATGACTAAAGTTTGGGATTGTAGATGACTGAACTACGATTAGATGCCTAATTTTAACTCCAGGATGGACATCCCGTGCACAGTTTGAAGAAACATGGGCGGCGCTACTTGGCGTTTTGAGTTCGCCACCGATGACAGAAGATGCATCTGTCGAGGTGAGGACACACAGCTTTGTTATTTCTTATGATTCAATGAAGATAAATGCAATCAAAAGGACTGAAACATGCCTTCCCCGCCATTTGAATAACTTTTACTGCTATTTACTGCTATATATTGTATATTACTCGCTTTCGTCCTTCATTTTTAGGACGATATCGAGGCAACACAAGCAAGCTGTCTAGCTGTTCACTGTATTACGTCATTAGTGCTGGATACAACACTGGCTCCAGTCCCAGGGAACCCTGGAGTTAGCAGATATTCAGTCATACCCCGTCAAAAAGAATATCCCTTCCTTGGTAGCAGGTACATCAATTTCACTCATAAAATTACTGATCAGAATCTATGCGCTTGTAATGAGGAAATAGAAGAAAACCTCTATTGCAATGTCTTTTTTGTCGCCGTTCTTGTTATTAGTCTAATTAAGTCACGTTTTCCATGCAGGGCTGGAAAACGGCTTGCTCTTATTCGAAAAGCCATTGAAACTGAATACAAGAAAGAGATTCATCTGATGACGAATCAGCCCCCATTTTCAGCTTCTCAGTTCCTATACCCAGCAGTTCCATCGCTTATTTTTGAAAAGCAAAGAAAGCAAGTTTTGCAGAGAGGTTGCTTCATGGAAGAAAAGCTTTATAGCTCGAACCTCGAAAATGGCCAGTCTTTATCCGAGTATACATTAGGCCAGGTAAAGCACAAAGTCCTCACTTCAGTTTTGATTTCATTTCTTGTTTTTTAATTTCATCGTTATCAATGACATTGTTATTTTCATTTTTCCACAAAATGTTCGGATTCTAACAAACCTAAGCAAAAACTTTTAGTCAAAGGAAGAACATTGAGGATAGTTGAAATGAAAAGTCCAATAAAATAAGAAAACACGACATAAAGATTTCGCTTGAAATCATGATCGATGTAAAAAGTTGTTCCAATGAAATGTCTCTTTAAAGTTGTTACATAGATCTCAAGACTCCTTGTTTATTGACGAAGATTTAGGCCTATTTATGTACTTCAAATTCACAAGTAGATCATCTTTGTTGATAGTTTTATTTAGTTTTTGTACGTCCATCATCTATGAAAGCTTTATTATGTATTATTCTAAAGCATTTAAGATTAGACTGGTTCAACTATGACATTCTACTGTAATAAGAAGCAAACTGCAAATTGCTTATTATTAATCGATTATAAGTCAAAGTGGATGCAAGAAACATACTGGCCATACTAAACCATACGAAGTTATTAAATTCTTGTATGAAGATTCTGTATTCTACTTAATTATCCTCTACGCAGAAAAAAGGGCTTTACAACCCACGATACACCTGTATGACATGTTATAGCCGTGATTATTTGACTGAATCTCCTTTGTGTTTCAATTTCAGATCTCAGCAAGTGCTATAAGAACAAGGCTGGTTTCATCGGACGTCCAAGAGGATTCAGACAGTGATGATTCAGAAGCCTTGATAATTCAAATTAATGAAGAAGACCCGAGAAAACGGTTCCAAGAATTGGACATTCGATCTTGTCTGCAATTTTTACTGGAACTGTTTGAGCAGTGGCTCTCTCCATTTGTTGTCCCAAAGACACCGCTCATGCTGAAAACCGAAGCTGTAAAATCGGTAAACATTTCAAAGCATGGATTACATTTTCATTCATTTTTGTTATCTTTATTTTATGTTTTTTACCCGTGGTAACCCCACTGTCAAATGACTTTTTCACAGAGGGGCCATGCTAAATATGCAAAAATACGAATCAAGATACAACTTGAAAATTGGAACAAAAACATAAAGTAATTACAATAGATATAGTATTTAGTCTGATTAGATCATATGAGCGAGTCAGCTTACGTTTATGGACACCAAAACGATATTTTGACATGCAGTTCGCTTATGGAGCCTTTAAGGTTTATACGTCACTGGCTTTTCCAACAAGCTAGTGGGCGTGACAAATATACTGGACATCTCGTTGTTTTAAAAATAGCTTTTTGTTTTCGTAGATCCACATAACAGACTTATTCGCTTGTATCTTTCAGTTATGTTTGTTATCGGATCTGCTTCTTGAGATGAGTCATTTTGAGTGGATCCTTGGCGTTCTTTTGGAATTCTACCAGAACAACCCATCGGAGGACGATATAACTTCTGAATACATTGTGCCAACAGTTTGCAAGGCCCTTGCTGTTCTTCGTGTGGTAGGTTGCCTGTTTGTCTCTTCTTGATCAATAACCTAGATTTGAATAAGAAAATAGACATAGTGCATGTCGCTGTTAGATGGTACAAGGAACACACATACTGTGATTTAACTGAAGAGATCTTTTTTGTTTGGGCGTTCGTACAATGAAATACATAAGGGTTTTCCCCTGATATACACAATATCAATTTCTCTAGCCATTTTTCATTTGTGGTTATAACCTCCTCGCATTTAGGCCGTCGTCTAGTGATTCCATCTTTGGTTAGTATATTATTTCAAATCAGCGTTCAAGTGTTGTTTTTTTAGATTTGTCCCGCTTTTTGTTATCCTAAGGTTACCCATCTTTGGTTTACAGCGTGTCTTAGCTAAACCCTTATATTCATAAAATGTCTATTTATGTCAATTATCAAACAATCAATCATTTTCTATGCAGTCCAATGACAAGTATCCCGTTTTTTCTCGGACATAAAGTGTGCCTGGTTACGCTAGAGCTCGCATAGTTCATCTATACCAAAATAGCATAATTCATCTATACCAAAATAGCATAGTTCATCTATACCAAAATAGCATAGTTAGTTCATCTATACAAAAATAGCATAGTTCATCTATACCAAAATAGCATAGTTCATCTATACCAAAATAGCATAGTTCATCTATACCAAATTGTTATTTCCTGATTTCGCTTTGAGGAAAAATCAACAAAACATTTTCCTAGCAGACAAGGAATTTTTTACAAAGAGACAGAAAGTTGCAATGGATTTGCACTATGTTATTTTAGTCGTTAAGATAGGTATTCATCTTTCTTTGTTTCCTTGCGTCTTTCTTTGTCTCAAGATTCTCTCTCTTCATTCTAATTTTTTTTATACACAGGAAGGGTCGATAGCAGAAAGAATATGTCGCATAATTGAGACTTCACTTAAAAGCCCCCATGTGCCTTTGCAGGTATGGCATTTGTGAACGTTAGTTGTGTTTTTCATGTATAAGACTTATCTATATTGCTATGAATTTTTGTGCTCCCACAGTTTTTTATCTTGTTCTAAGTAAATTTTAAATCTTCACGATCCACAGAACAAAATTAGTTTTACCTGTGATATGCTAACATTGAATCTCCTATACGTCGGTCTTCTGTAAGTTATTTGCCCTATTGCAGACTCGGAATATCTATAAGTTGTTTTTTTTCACAGATCTCAGCATTGGAAGGTGGTTTATATCTTCTCGAATCGCACGTGCCATCTACAAATATGACATTGGTTCCTGTTCTGACTGATTACTTGACAAGACACATAGCTTATCCAATAGAGTAAGTTAAATGGGCAAGTCAAGGATTCCTTGGCAATCTATTATTGTGGCCACATCCTTTGAAACCTGGTTTTGCAGTTCCATTGCTTTTTTACCTGTTTTGTACTTCACAATCTTTGTACTTTATTTTTGTTTGTCCTTTTGTTTGAACCGTGGTTTTGGAAATTACCTTTATTATGTGATAAAAATAATAATACCGTCAAAAATAAATTATTTTGAGAGTGCACTATATGACAGGTTTACATTGTATATTTGTATACCTTTGTTACTCTGGATGCCTTTGGGATGTGGGATAAAAAACTTGAATATGTTTTTTTTCTTTTTATCTTATAATTGGGTTTAGTGGCGGCGTTGATTAGGGAAGATAAAATTACAAAACTAGACAGACATCGTAATATACCATAAAATTTCTCGAAAATGCTTTAAAAGAAAACAGGTACCAGTAATAAAATGATGATGGCTCAGAAATAATTTAATGATTTTTTTATGATTTTTTAGTCCAATTCAAGTTGTTAGTCGGCGATTCGCTGGATTTGTTTGGAGTACAGCGTTTTATATAATGGAAACATGTTCCACTGAGGTTCAAGACATCACATTCGTTTCAATAGTTATCGAGGTAATTTATGTGCATAATTATCCTTAATTGTTACGTCGCAAGTTTTAATTTGATAAGATGTAACGATTTTACTATCGCATTATCACATTTCAGCTTCTTCGGTAGAAGTATTGAAGCTGTTTTATTTGCTAATTATGCTCATTGTTTTCTTGTATTGTGGATATGGCAAAGTCTGTGAAATAATGGAAGTGCTATTTTCCGTTTAGATATCAAAACCAAATTTACCAATTAACTACAATGTCGTCGAGTACATTAAATATTAGAAATGACATTACTGAAAGCTAGAAAGAAACGTCTTTCCACATCTCTGACATTGTTTCATTCTCTTCTAGACTTGCATTGCGTTACTGTCATCAAGTGATGCCCAGATTCCGGCTGCCATAGCTCGTCTCTTGTTTAGAGGTCTCGAGAGATTGGTTGTATCTTTTGCAATTGGGAGAAACTCTTGCGATCGTTTAGCGAAAGTTGCACAGAATAGGTAAGGGTTTGTAAATTATAGACTTGCAGCCAGAATAAGGTTCCGAAAGAACACGATGGAAAATATATACCCAGTTGTGACGTTTTACCTTATTCTGACGTTTTTGCTCTGAGGAGTGTCAGACGAAAAAGCTTTTAGTATGTCGTAAAATGTTTGCTTTTTTCAGAGCCATTTTAAAATGTGTATTGCTAGCCTCTATATATGAAAAGAGCCTCCGTGTTGTTGACAAAGAGCAGTTTGATTCAGTTTAATTAACTTACACAGTAACACGGCTATCAAAATTGCATAAAAATGTGTTTCGATATTTTAAACTGTTACAAGAAAAGTAACAAAACTCCTTCTTAAGGCGGTGTCTTCTGTTTTATCATAAAATAAATTTTCAATTTCAGTCTGCAAACTGACAATCCGGATCGAATGATTGCCGCCCTTGGCCTGCTCTGTACATGTATGTACACAGGTAAGAAGTTCATTTGATAAAGTCACTTCCGTAGTTTGATTGTACCATATAAGCCATACACTCATTATTTTATAAGAAATTGGCTATAAGAAACGAGTACTGGACAGTCAGAAGAGATTAAGAAACTTCAGTACTCGAAGCAAAAAAAAGAAACTATTAAATCGTGATAAAACTGAGAACAACGTTATTTTGTAAAATCCAAGAACATGATTGCCCTGTTGGCCTAGAACTTAAGACACAAGGAATAAAAATATACTTCCCACATCTAAATACAGCATCAGAACGGAAGCGAAGCTCTTGACATGATAAAAAAGGCCACGAACATTTCATAACATCAGTCATGACAAATCGTAATTAAGAAACTCTTAAGAAACAGTGAGTATTGAAAATCCCAGGACATTAAGAAACTGGAGTGCTCAACATCGACCTTTGTTTCTCATAAAAAATGAATGTATTGTATCATATGCTAGAAAAAATAAAGAAATATAATTTTACTAGAAAACTTAACAAAATAAGGTCATGTAAAAGCAAGTCTTTGATGAAAGGGCCCTTTTTAACAAATAAAGGAGGGTTTCAAAACCTTCAAAGCATTTTTTCAAATTGAAAGATGATTCTTTGATTACGTGTCCAGTTTCTACGCCCTAGAAACATATTTTTCGTTCATTTTTTCACCTCATTTCAGTATTGAAACAAGCCAATGATTTATGTATGCTATATCTATCGGTTTTGTGTATCGGCAGAGCAAAAAACCGAAGCTGAAAGTTGGGTTTATAAATGTAATTATTTTGTAACGTATTCGACCATTTATCAAATAAATTCAAGTAAACAGAAAGCTGTAATTTTACTCTCATTGGGATTTTTCAATGTTAGGGAAAAATTTGAAAACCAATTCGGTTTCCTATTTATCCTCTGCCTTAACTTGGCTTCATGATTACAAAAAAAATTATTCGACTTATTTATCTCCTTAAGACAATGATATGCAAATTTATTGCAATAAGAAGAAACTGCAATGACTAGCCGATCGTTAAGTATAAATACTTTTCAAATTTTTGAGAAGCAAATGTATCAGGAGATTTATTAAGCAAAACGGTTTTGGCAGAGGAATAGAAAAGGCAGCATTAGGACCTTAAAGATTTTAGCAACTCATTTCTTTTGCTTTTCCATTCAGGCCCTTGCTTCCTTATACCGTCATTTTGCAATCAAAGCTCCTTTTTATACACATTTCGGTATGCAGTCTTGTTATTGTGTGTTGGATCCTTGTTTTCAATTTGTATCACAGGGAAAGAAGGCCAGCAAAATGCTGCGCAGCCTGATCAAGATGGCCAACAGTTTGCTCCGATCGCTGATTCTCAGTTGCTGATGATGGAAAGACTTGGAGTTCTTTTTACAAGGTAGTGGCATTTTTCTTACTAGTAGAGGGAAGCCAAACTTTTTTTCGGAAGGGTACTGAAATGATTCTCGCCGACAAAAAGGGCCTGTTTCACTCTTCAAGGGTGTGGTCATAAAAAAAAAATTTATCTGCTGCTTTAATGAATTTCTATTGCAGTATTCATCATTTGAACATTATGCTACAGAAAGGGAAACACTTCTTCGTTTGTCCGACAAAAATTCTTTGTTTGCTAATGGACAAAGTATTTGGGGGATACAGCACTCTCCGTATCCCCCCCCCCCCCTTGGTGATGCCCCTGTTTTTTAGATTTAGCACTTCATTTTTTCTTTAAAATTCGTTTTGGCGTATCTCTCTAAGAAGTTAAATTCTTTATGCATAGAAAATGTAAAGATTGCTGTTAACCGATCAGTTGGGAAGAGTTCGATGCCGTGTAGAGATATACCCGCTTTTGTATGACACAGGGTATTTCTAAGTTGCCACTCAGAGTTTCACGCTTATTGTTGACATCAAGCCCCAAATCTTCAAAAATCGTGCATAGACATCCAGTTACCTATCGAATTAAGTGTTGAAGTTGCAGCTTAGAATTTTCCTATTGTTTAGATCGAGGCATGTAAAGAAGTCACATGTTTTAACGATATCTAAATAATCTCAAGGAATGATTTTTGAGAGACGTGCTCCATGGCCTCAAATGTTGTACCAGGCATCGATAAATCAGATTGAAATTTATTCTCAGGACCTTCACAATTATCGAGACAACTTAAGATAAGAGTGTCGCTCCGTTTATTGGTTAATCGAAACAAAGGAAAATTTAAATTGCATTGAGATTTCAGTTTACTAGATTGTCACGCTTATTTTCACTATTCATTGATTTGTCATTAATCACGTGATTTGTTTACAGGATGAGAAAAGGAACAGCATCCGAGGCTGCTCTGATCGCGAAAATCCTTCCCAGCATGCTCTTGGATTTCCTTCCCGTTCAGGAGGTCATGAACAGAATATTTAGCGAGTTTCTGTCGAGCCAGCAGCCGCATCCTGAACTCATTGCCAAAGTTGCATTCGAGGTAGGACATTAGTAAGAATTTTCAGAGATAATGTTTATCTGTAATTTTTTTGGTACGTTTTCCTTTCATTCGTCTTGAGAGATTAAAAGAGTCCTATCGTTGAATATCTATTATTCACTTAGATTTACCTATCTGTGTCAGTAATGTATTTGCGGGGATCTGAGGGCGTGTAAATTAATGCATAGAGAATTCAACGTTTTCACATGAAAAGATTAGCATAACAAGTCAAGATACTAGGTAATTTCTCCTGACTTCTTCCTGATTAATACAGACAGACCCCAACAAAGGAATGCTTTCCTTTTCTAGAAAACTCGTAAACGCCCCAATTTTTACAGAATTTCATTACCGCCCATAGAGGATTTACTGTATTGTTTCCAAGAAATGAAAACTGCTCCAATGCCTAACCCTTTAAGAATCTCCTATACGCCCTGCCCTGTAAAAACCCCCAATCTTTTTAGTATTCATGGTGCATCTCACATTCCTTACTGCGTAATTGCCATTTCGACCGGGAGTGCCTCAATCCCACCATCTGGCTTCCAACGTCATAAGTGACATACATACCAGCCTCTTAAATGAGAGTTGTCGTACATCCTCTGATTGAATCAAGTATGTACCGTAACCTAACTCATTGGAGCCAAAAATGCTGGCCAACCTTAATCTGTTCCAACCCCCTTTCTTCAAGTGCAAGCCGATGGATCTTTTTGCTACCTTAGAAAGCAAAGACAAAATGGCAATGAAAAATTAAGATGGATCTGATAAATTAGGAAACTAATAAATTGCCACTAGCATGGAAGTAATTTCCGGCTGTTGTTTTTGCTAGGTTTTTGATGAGCTTCACGGCAAAGGCCAACAAGAAGCTGTTAGAAGCTGGATCATTCTTTCCCTAGGAAGTTTTGTACAAAGGTGAGTGATATGTTTTTATGCCGAATGAGATGTAAATCAACATTTTATGTGATAGGAGAACAGGATTTGGAGAAAAACCTGAGAGAAATTGTGGGTTAGTTACACAACCGAGGCAGACGTGACCTGGAGGCTCAGTTTGTAGAGAAAACGACGTACCAAGTCGCTGGCCCTGGGCTCGAGACCTTCCCTTTATCGTGTCACTCGTTTAAATTTTATCCGAGTAAACATTATCAATATCTCCTTAATATTTCCTGGTACTGTTTATTAGCAAAAAGCGTCGTTCAATCTCCTTCCAAGTAGGCTGCTAAACATGGTCTGCTAAAGTACAGGCAACCCTTACCTGTACTATAGCTAGAGCCTTTTATTCTTGCTCAAGATTATATGTTTACTGGTTTGTTATATGCTGCTGGATACCGCATCTGAGTTTTACGCTAAATGTGACAATCAGCATTTTGTTCATATGTATTTCAAAGCAATTATGAAAAGCAAGCTGTTTCTATCTTCTTACTACCTGCCTCTTTATAAGCCTAGGTTCCTTTTTTCTTTGTTTTGGTTTATATCAAAAGTGGAGTTATTTTTCTATGTAAAATATCTTTATATTTTAGAACACCGCTGGCCATGGCAATCTGGAGTCTCAATTGCTTCTTGATAAGTGGCACTATAAATCCATGGCTGCAGTCCTTGTATCCCTTTCGTCTTCGTGCTTTCTGTGTGTTTTTAATATCATCTTCAGTCACAGAAAGCATTTAACACAATATTAATATCTATATTTAGCAGTGCGTATGGCTGAAAGTCGCTGGGCCATCAAGCCACCATTATGTATTGTACTCACAGTCCAACTTCAGCTGTATTGTACACAAGGGGCCGCTGCTTTTTGTGCCTAAAAGGATTAAGATCTTTCTAAAGAACTTATGTACAAACGGATATGATAGGCTGATTGCCAGTTAATTGTTGGAAATCGAGGAATATCAGAGAGTTGACAAAGCAGGATATGATGCTTTGTATCTTGAATATTTGTACCACAAGCACGAATGTGACACGAATGCATATCTTGATTCAGGGTTATGCTCGAATCTGAGCCTATTTTGTGAGAGGTTTCCCTCGAAAAAACGAGATGCATAAAAGACGCTCTTGTTACGCTTTTGCCATCTCGGCAACAACTGATTTTTCATGTAAAATAACTTACTTAGATATAAATTCACAAACAAAAGATGATTAAGGAATAAGAACATGTAAAGGGTCCATTCATTTGATTATACACGAAAACGAGACTGCGGATACTAAATTGTCCAATCATATTAGAGGAGGCTATTCCTGTTCCAATTTGATGGGAGGGGGGGGGGGATTTCAAGGGGAGTTTTATGACATGTTTTATGACATATCATCATAAAAAATTTATTTAACCAACTAAAAAGTTAAATTTTTTGTAGGGTATAATTGCCAAATGTTTTCGCTTGCAATATTTTAGACGTTTTTTGTATCGCTGTCTATGGCCTTAATTTGTCAAACAGATTTCCATATATTTTAAGCAGAAAGGGAAAACTTGGCAAACAAGATCAAAAGATTTTCTGCATGTTGGCTCTGGATTTCTATCAAAACCAGGTATGTGTCTTGCTACTTCGACAATGATCCAGCAAATCTTCTAGGTTTCCAAGAAAATCTTACCTGGACACATCATTTTGTTCTTTTAAAGAAACGTTTAATCTCAACACCAACTTTAAAGCCATTGTGTAAATAAAGGAAAGGTCACAATAGCAGGCTGCTCGATAGACTCCGACCGAATTCTTGCCGCGAAAAATTGATTAAGAATATAGCAAATAAGGGACGCTGCAACGCGACAATTAATCGCCCCGGCATACGGGGCTTCATCAAAGCAAAATTAAATTGTGCAAACATTAAAATCGGCGATTGTGGTGTCTGATTGGTGGATGTGAAGCCATCACTGTCAGTACATGTAAATATCATCAAACCTTGTAGACAGTGGAGGCAGTGAGGCTCACTTCCTTGAAATTCACTTTCATTCATTGCGATGAAAGCTCTTTTGTTTCGAATCCTGCCCTTTCCTAGTGTCTATTGGTTGCTTACAATTGCCTATCAAGTTTTTTTGCGTCAATCTGGGAGCTCTACTTTTCAGAAACGGATATGTTGTCTGGTTTTGTAGCACTGGGCTATGATAATTTAGTCGAAAGAAAGTCTTCTTTTTGCAAATTGATATGTAATGTCTGATACAATGGACGGATTGTCCAGAATTTTTGAAGGTAGCTCCATGTCAAGGACTTTGTAAGGGACATCAACCGATTTTAAAAGGAAATTCTCTTTAGAATTCTATTATTCCATACATTAATATCTTCAGATTCTAAACTATATTCAGCTTTAGTGCTATTTGCTTCCAAGCCATAGATGATTCAAGAAAGAACGGCTATCTATGCTTACTATAATAGGATGTCGTCCAGTTGTGAACAAACATAAGTAGTTTAGTTGAATCTTTTTATTTCTTCGACAAAGTACGGAACATTCCGTATCAGCTACAGCTCTGAAGGGATAATTTTACTGATATCTTACATAGATTATGGAACCTGACGAAAAAAGAATGTTTTTAAGCACTTTCCAAAGAAAATCAACGGAAGTTGCTGCTTATCAGGAACTGGTGGAGTGCTGCCTTCGAGTTGATGCAGACAAGTCAGGCGAAAGCTTGTAATTGAGACAATATTCAGTTATGGCGAGCTAGAGAAGCCTTTTAATATAGTTCCTGGGCAGAGGCCTGATGACACAGTTATCTTCAGGAACAAGTATGCTGCTTCACAGTTCATCCTCTATCACTGGCAACGAAAGAAACTGATGCTTTAAATTCATTTTCCATATTCTACGATCCTAAACACAGCTGTGGAGAGAAACACAGCAAGTAGCAGGCATAAATTGTCCCACACATACCCCTGATTCAAAGTTTGTGTGCTTCCTCCCCTCCCCAATTCAAAGTTTGAGTTAAAGAAAATGATATATATGTCAATATTGAAAAAAGGAGGGTGGGGCGCTCATCTCATACCGTCGTCCGTACGCCTAGTAAAAAAGTTTATTCTCTTGATAACGAGTACATGCTCCAAACGTGGTGTTTTTAACGGCCTATTTCATTTTGTTACTTAATTTATTCGCTCATTATATTGGACAACAACCCAATCACACGCCAACCCGAGTTTCTCATAATCGTGTTAGACGCCGCCTTTGATCAGACGAGGATTAAAGAGGTAAATTTGGAGATAAGTTATTGTGGGTCTGAGATCTTTTGCTTCCAGCAACATATTTTTATGGGCTTTTTATGATCCATGTCTGTTGTTGCTAACGATCGTAGAAGAAGAATGTGGAAGAGCTAGTACCTGATAATAAACATGTGTTATCCAGCCTCAACTGGATGCTGACATTGTGGCCTACAGTCTTTGTTATAAATGATAATAAAATGTAGAGTTTAATACTGTACATGATGATATTTGTTGATTGAATTTATTAAAGCCAATTTTAAATGCTTCAAGGCTCAGTGTCATCTTGCTGCCCAAAAATAACAAAACACTTAAATTTAAACCGGATGTATAAAATTATATTCTTGTGAAAATTATTACGTTTTTCTAGCATTATTTGAGTTTAAGCAGCACTATTTCGAGCCAGCAAGCTAATTTTGCTTTGAAAATATATGTAGAAAAGATTAGTTAATTTATTATTTTTCATTACATTGATGTAATTATTTTCTTTGTATTAAGGAAGGTGATCTCTATAATTTAGGCAGAATGAATTTGATCGGTGGAGAGAGCCCATATAGAACTTGCTTCCTTTATCTACAAATGAAATGATTGTTTGTGCGAGCAATTATTCGCACGAGAAATTACGTCGTGCCACGAAGTATTTACTCAAAAATTTTGTCTGTGTCTGCAAACACAGATTCAGAATTTAGTTTCGCAGAGGGGACAGTTATACGAAAAACATCAGCTAACTGGTCGCAGATATAACTGAAAACATAAACTACATCTTGTTACACATGCCACCACATTTTGATTACAATTGCTTTAAAATTTTTGCTTCTGTTGACTGCATGGACCTACCCTGGGTACCAGACTCCAGGGTAGCATGGACCTTTCTCTCGTTAGTACTATTTTCAGTTTCAATTAAGCTTCCAATATATATTGATTCTGTTCAATTGTCGTCCTTTCCCTCACTGTTTTATACTCTTCAGTATTCCTCACTGTTTTCGCGTTGGATATCAGATTCTTATTCCAAGTGTCGATGGAACCTCTCTGTTTAGGTCTTTTAGTTTGTTCACATCATTTATTATCCGGCTGATGTCAGCTGCATGCTGCTGAAATGTTGGTGTTTACATTTTTGCTAGTAGTACGAAACGCGTGTGATGGAGAATGCTGGCTGTAGAGTTTCTACTTAATATATTAAACAGAGTATTGGGCTTAGACAGTCTCCCTGGCGGACTCCAATGTTTGTGTTCATTACTTTTCCGATGGTTTCTCCGACCATAGATTCAGTATAACATTACCAGTTGATTTTTTCATAACATGTAGATTATCTTGATCAAGAGGTTATATAAAAATAGAGCGTATATTCTTTCCTAGTTGTCGAATCTTGTCTTCTGTTGCTCGGCTCGTTTCTTTTTGATTAACTTGACAACGAGTGCGTGCTTGAAATCTCTTGATTTTAACAGTGTTAACAGATTTAAGATAAATTGAATTGCTTAATCAGTTGAAAAAATCATTAGAAAGTGGGAACTTTGAGCTACATCACATTTCAAAATGATTCGCGAATCTACTCTTCAGTCATGCAACTTGAGGCCAGTTTTCACCCAATTTTCTAGACTTTGTAAAAGAGAAATCAGAGTCCTCCAGGTTGCTTGAAAATTTTTCATGGAAAAAGCGAAAACTGCTCTCTTTCGAGCACTTCTTCTATGCCACGATTTCTTGTCAACTTTTCCATTATTCTTGCAAACTCAGTATCGATTAGCTTAATTTTTTTTCAAACCAGTTGTCATTTCATTTTGGAAAACAAAGCACTTACAAACATTATTATTACATACAAGGCAGTTTGTATGCGGCATACTTACATTGAAAAAACAATTACAAGTGCAAAAAACAATTGTACACAACATAAATATGACCGTGATTGCGACGATGTTGAATAATGCTGATGAGGATGACAAAAGTGGTGATGACGTTGATAATGGCAATAAAGATTGTAGTGATGGTGGTTGAGATAGAATACTAGATGGAAAGAGGTTCTGGGTTAGGCCAAGGTTTGTTTCTACGGCAGAATACAATATAGGTGCATCGAGTTATGACCTTTGATAAACCAAGATTGATGTAACGTCGATGGGAATTTTCAACAGCAAGATTGTCCAGCATATCTGTTAAAGTAGAACACGATTGCTCAAAGATGCCGAGAGAACTAATTGAGAGGTTGACAAATTTAACGGACTTGTACGAACTGCTACGAGTTTTTAAGAGAGATTTGTACTTATAATAATGGAAACTTTTCATTTTCAATTCAATTGCACGTTTTTTTTATAAGAAACTAAGGTTCGGTGCTGGTAGGCAGTTTCTTAAACTTTCTGGCCATTTTGCTATCAAAAGTTTCTTACATGTTTCTTAAATTTCTCAAGTAATGAATTTTTTAAACGTGCTTCCAAGGTAAAGTAAATAGTTCACTCGCATTTAGAGATAAGCTAACAAAGTGATCAAGGAATTCTGTTTTCGTAGAATGTTGAGATCTATAAACAGTTAAGCCCATTGAGCTTCATCAATGTCAAGTTGAAGTCAGAACCGAGGGGCAATTAACTCTTGCAAATAGCGTACAAGATTTTCCCTTAAACAAAAGGATTTCCAGAGATTTTCATATAAACAATAGGATTTTCACAAAGGTGTACGAGATTTTCTTGGAGTGATTTGCCCCTCGGTCAGAACAAATTTTTAAATGGAAACTTCTTGAGCGTGCAATTTACTGAGAATGAATGAAAACTGCATGTCAAGTGTAGTGTTGCAATATACAGCGATGTTCCAAGTCAAGACTGTTTCGAGTGTCAAATCGGAAAATTAAAACTGGAAATTATGAAATTTTCTTACATTTTTCTCAATTTGGGTAGGGTTGTTTCTTAACTTTCGAAAAATTGAGCCTACCGTTTCTTATAACCTGTTTCCTATAAAAAATGCGTGTAAAACGACAATTACAAATTTCACTATTACAAAGGTAATTTGCAATTGGCTAGCGTAGGTTTACAAAGAAAAAGACTATCACAAGCACAAACATTAATTAACAAGAATTAACATAATTAACATAATTAACATAATAAACATAAAGAAATTAACAAAATAGAAAAAAGTGTTTTCCTCTTTGTTTGTTTTTTAAGTTGACAGTAGCAGAGATCGTTAGAATTGAAGAATTTCAGGATTATTCCAAGACTTATTTCTGTGGCAGAAAATGTAATAGGTAGTAAAAGTTGATAATTCCCTTTTTACAATTTTCAATGACAGAAGTTGGAAAGTTAAAAAGATTTCCAAAGAATAGACCATCTTTGCTTAGTTAAAATTAATTTTACAGACAACAGGATAATTCTTATTTTCTGTAAGCCTTTTTCTTTTTTTAAAGAAGCGTTTTTTGAAATTTTCTGCGCATGTTTAAATTTTGTGGTAAAATGTGTTTTCATTTACATCAAATGAGAACAGGAGAAAAAAATTAAATAAAAGTCTTTCAGAATTCATCGCATACAAATAATGTTCTTTTCTTGAAAGTAAAAATAGAAGTGGAGGTGCGGGGTTTCGAACCCCGGGCCTCTCGCATGCAAAGCGAGCGCTCTACCACTGAGCTACACCCCCGGCGATTTATACTCGCACTCAAGGTCTGACGAAACCATGAAGGAGTGAAGTTTGTCAACATTACGCGTATCCAGACGCGAGCAAAGGAGGCAATGATATCGGCGAAAGAAAGACTACAATTCGGAATGAAATAGGAACTTATGGCAGTGACTGAATTGGAATCGAAAACAGCCCAACCATTCAGAACTCCGCATAACCACGAAAAAGATAAGGAGTAGGTAGATGGTTGACATATGATAAGAGAAACGATAGCCTTGATGGCAGTCAACTGCAAAGCATGGCTTTCCACATAAAAAGTTCTGGTTACATTCGAAAAGGTAAGGTCATGCCTGGCCTAAACTTAAGATTATTTATAGAGAAAGTCTTTGAGAATGGGTGATCTTAAATTTAAGCAGAACACTGCACTCGGCAAATGATAGACTAACTGTGATACCATTTTATTTTGGTTTTCGTAATGGGAGCCTCTTTTACTTGAGTTCAAAGAGTAATAGTAAACTTGCTGGACGTTCAGAGCTTCCAGTGAACCATAGATGTTACCCTGGGTACCAGACTCGCTGTATATAAATTTTATTTTATATATAGTGAGTCTGGTACCCAGGGTAGCATAGATGTACAACGCTGAAAACTAATTAGGTTTAAAAACAAGCAAAGCGAAAACAACGAGTCGACAATAAACAGTTGTGTTGTACATCATTCATATAAAATCAAAGTTCAACGAAGCACATTGCACGGAAATAATACTGTGCACTTAAAATCTAGAGAGATATGGGACCAACTCCCTTGGCGTCGATAGAGCACGCACGTTTAAAAATGTTAAAAACTATTTCAAAAGAAACGCTGATTAAATGACAAAGATAAGTACAGGGCGTCACCATTTTTAAAAGGAGCGGTCCCTGCTAATCTCAAGGGCGCGGCCACAAAAATGTTCCTGGGGGTTCCATCTCCGTACCCCCATTTTCAGCACCTGTCAGATTTTTCTGGATCCACGTCTGGACACAGACTTAAACTTGAAATATTTTTAAACATTGACACGTTAACTACAGATACAACTACAGGTACCCTTGCAACAGAGGCAGATACAGAATGAAAGTTGACTAAATGCAATGTTGCCTAAGTAAGTAAAAGTAAATAAACAGCATGGCTGTTCCGTGGCTAAATAATAAGGCATCTATCGTGCCGTGATATACACTCTCCCTTTTTATAAGAACCAGTAAATTTAAGTTCAGACTGTGTGTTCTTAACTTTTTCGAAAATCTGAGGCTGGATTGCTCTTAATTTGTTCTTAAATTAATAGGTTATAAGCAGGGTGATTGCTAGCTTTTTCGCTCTAGGAAGGTGTTCAGAAGATGCTCTCTTAAAAGATTTTGAAAAAAGCTCTCTTGTTTTGCAAAAAGTAGGGGGGAGGGGCATGCCCTGTGTTCATTTCCTTCTTGCATCAAACACACTCTACTTTCCGTCTATACTTTCGCTGCCGATCAATACTTCAGACTTCATCTCGAGGCGAAGATAAACATCATGTGCGCGTCGAGCTCGAGACGAAAGCGCTGATCGGTGGACGAAGGACAGAAATGTATATATGTTGCTGTTGCTTGCCTCGTTTCTGTTTTGTTTTCCCAACTGGGCGGAGATTGTAAAAAAGATAGGGGGAAAAGACCATAAATTCAAAAACCATAAAAGTAGAAATAAAAGTGCGATCTAAAGAAAATTTCCAGATTTGCCCGACAAAATCTGCTTTTTTGAGGATTAGGGGGGGGGGGTGCAGCACCCCCCATACCCCCCAGCAGTTTCGCCCCTGTGACGTCATAGTGAAAAAATTCTGTGAAATGTTGTCAGTACTTCTATGTCCTATACGAAAAGCTCTAAGTCAGGGTTTCATAGGTCACATTGTCCATTTTGATGTATGACTACTCGTCACTAGTAAAGACTTTCAATGCAAGTGTCTTCTAAACATCGCCTAGCATAATTGCTGATTCTAAATTAATAAAATGTATGAAAACAATCTTTTGGTGTTACAAAACTTAAAAATGGCTTTGAAAAAAGCAAACATTTCAGTATACTAAAGCTTCTTATCTGACACTCTTCGGAGTATAAAACGTCAGAACATAGATCGAAAACTCTACGCTAGGAATATATATACACAGCCAATCAGAAACGCGAGCACATGACTGTTGAGGTTGACCAATCAGTTCCGCTTGTCAAAGATCAAAACGAACTCCTTCTGTGTACACAATAGCGGTTTTTCATGTAGATAGAATCCAAAACTGGTAGATAGAGCGACGATTGGGCTTTGCCAATAATCCGAAATATGTCGCCATTATAGTTTTTTGCACAATCTGGGTTTTCCAGGAAATACTTTAGCGGAATCGTATGTTTTACTTGTTGTTTTTATTCTGCAAGACCGTGGAAGCTGCGTTCAACCATAGTCACGCATATATACCACCACAGCTACGGATGAGCGTTGACCATACCCTTCACCCGTACCCCCTTTAGCTTCTATTCATTATGCAATCAGCAAGCATATTGTCTGTTTTTATGACAGAGACAGGAAATTGCTTTTAACTTGCATATTTTCCTTTTTTTTTATCAACTTTAAATCATTATCTAAAAAAACCCATATCAAGCGACAATAGTGTGCTGCATCCCAGCTTCACTGATAATGTTCTCGCTTTTTTTCGCAATTCTAAATTTTCGATTGCAACTGCAAGCGTATAAAACGTGGGACACAGTACGTCCTAAATGTGATTTTTGTAAACAACTATTCCTTTGTTTTGCTACACGATCATTGAATTGATCATGCCATGTTGACATAAGAATAAATCTTCACGTGCTTATAGAAACGGGAAATAAAAAGAGTGCACTGTGAGGTTATCCAGCGCAGCGCAATAAAGCTGTCATGCGTTTACACAAAGATGAAATCTGCAGATTACGCGCATGCACACGTAGAAGTGTATTACCCCCCCCCCCCCACCTCACAAACATCGATTTAAGAAACGGAAAGCTTTTAGCCATCTAGTGGGTCGTCGGCAGATAAAAGGTAGTTTAAATGGCGGCAGATAAATGGCGGAATTTAAGACTTTGACACCCCCCCCCCCTCTTGAGCACAATAGCTTGCAGTGGCCTTAGCTATTGAGACAAGCAATGAATAAGAACAACATTCAATAACAGTGAAGAATATTATTAAAGCATAAAATGATATAACAAGAAAATGGCAGTAATTATGCCACTAAATGTGAATACAAAATGCAAGTAGAAGTAGAGTAGAAAATAGAAACGTTAAGTAGTAGAAACGTGAATACAAAATGCAAAAAAGTTTTAAAAAACATTAAAAGTTTAAAAGTCGTTACAGTCAAAGGCCTAAATATCCACCAAACTTTAACCAAACATCTTCATCATTTCCCCTGCAATGCCAGCAAAAATATCAACCACGGAAGATTTATCATCGCACAGTCGCATCCTCTTGCAAACTTTTTCTGGCGATTCCCCCCAGTTGATCCTGCCAATCATTGCATTTATGTTGAACTCCGAGCACTGACAGAGAAAAGACAAGTAAGACATATGAGAACATTATCACGCAAATATCATGCGATCAGAAAAAGGAATCTTTTGGCCATGTTATAAAAACAAAACAAAATCATTCGTTGGTTTCAAAAAGGCATGTGCAGCTAGCAAATGTAATTGATATTTCAATCATCAAACAGAAAATATGAAAATAGAAGTAAAGATAAAAAATCGATTACTGCCTTAGCAAAGGAATATTCAACATTCTACCAATAGATCAACTTCAAGACCTCTCTTTTACAACTGCTGCATTATATATAAAAAGTTAAAATCACAAAAGCATAAAATCTATTTTATATTCATAGTGAATTTTATATATTAAGAGCGTTGGTTTTTGAAGCAGCAAACTGGAGTTCGATTCTGCCCAAGATTGGTTGGATACAATTGGGCAGCAATCAATCAACCAATCAATATTTATTTACACGAGATACCTTTCAGCAAAAAAAGAACTATTTATAAAAAAAGAACTATTAAAAAAAGAACAATTTGCATATTGCTGCTCTACCAAGATCTCGTGTTTGGATCCTGTGGAAGGTTCGAAAGATACTCTCTAAAACCTGTTTTTAAACGAGCGATGGATTCTTTTTCTCGAATGTTGCTAGGGATATCATTCCAGTTTTTGACATCAGAGAAATAGAAACCTCGCTTTGCATCCTCTAACCTAACTTTGGGAATTGGCAGGTCTCCACGGTTTCTGGTTCTATACTCTGAAATCATGGGGGAGAACCCCTTGTGGAAAATATTTTCCTCCTGTCAGCCTTTGCAAATATACATTTATGTATATAAATAAAGATGTTATAAAAGACCATGGCAAAAGACAATTTATTATTTTTCTGGGACGCGGGATCTATATATCATGGACGCGGGACGCGGGATCTATATATCATGGACGCGGGATCTATAGTTCATGGACGCGGGACGCGGGATTTATATACTAAAATAATATAACATCATCAATCGGTTGAGTATATATCCTTACAATTTTTTTTCCTGAAATCCTTTCCAATCTTGCACACGGCATTGCAAATTTTTGTGCATTCCGGCGTCTCCCCATTTTAGCTTGGGCTGCTTTGACAGATGATATGCAGATATTGCACATGGGGTTTTTTCCATCACCTTTGAAAAAATGCTGGAAGAATTTTCCTCCTTCTTTTTCATCTTCAATCTGTTTGGGACATAATCTCAGTTTGACACACAAGTTGGCCGACTTCAACTTCTCCACAATATTGTCACAAACAGCTTTGGTACGGTTGACATAGGAGTGGCACTAGAAATGTGATATGAAAACGCTATTTAATTTCATTATAATGCAATTTGATTAAATCTCATTCTGTACCAATGGTCGTTACTTCAATATGCCATGCAAAATGATCCATTGTAATCGTTTGTCAAGTCTAACACAAAATATAATGAATCAACTAGATCAACGATCGTGGTAGTTTTAATTGTATTTTTAAGGTGAAAGATTCACATATCTTAGATTCTTGAAATACCAAATTGATTGCCAAGTGACCAGGCAATATTTTTCTCACTGAACTTCGGTCGAAAGGATTAATATTCTACTTAACACGAGCTCGGATTATACAAGCATCCTAGAAGAAAAAAGCATTACCCTTGATGATAGACTGCTGTAAGGAATCATATCACAGATCTTATCGACTTCGGACAAGGACATCTGCATTGTTTTATCGAGATTTTGAAACCTTTTCACCAACATGTTCTCAGCGTAACGGCATATATCGCAGACTTGGTTATTTGTCTTCTTTGCAATGTGCATTGCAATGATAAAAGGCTTGTTGCAGATGACTTTTTTGCATTCACTTGGATCCAGTATCTGTTTTCTTAATTGCTCAGCTGACTGTATTACTTGTGCTGCATACGAGCACTGAAACAAAAAGGCACATAATTCGATACATATCATAACAAAATAATTCATTCTGCATAAAAGCGATGATAAAAGATCAAAGAGATATGAAATAGCCTGTAAACTGGTAACGGCAAGGAAGTGTGTTTTTTGCTGGGTTGAAAGGGCAGGATATATAGCGAATCTAGATAGGTAAACATCAGACTAACTGGTCAGTTGCTTGACTAAAATTGAGTAAACCATCGTTCGCCTAGGGTCAGGGTACCAGTACTGCAAAACTAGCATCCATTAAAACCAGTTCCCAGTCAAGATAAATAATGTTTTTTATACATACTATCCAATAGGAAATCACAAAAATGTTTTACTTCAAACTGCAAAGTAAAAACAACAATACATCTCAAAATCCCTCATTTCCAGCAAGCGAGGCTTACTCCAAGGTAAATTTCTTTAGAGCGGGGGAATTCGAAGTAAGCTCCTTAAAAGACATTAGAGAGCAGATCAAACAAAAAAACGCCGAAGTGGCTGATTGCTGCACAAGTACCTTTTCCTTGAGATTTTCGTTTAGTGGGCTGATGCAAGCTATTTGGGCGTACTTTGTCATCAATCTTAAACTTGACTCAAATGTTCTCATGTCTTTCTTGACAATCCTCTCGGTGGAATGGCAGATGCGGCACACTGACCTTGCAGTTGTCTGATATTCTTCATGTACATTTTGCCAAGATAGATTGTTAGTTTCGTGGACTGTTTTGCTGCAGAAGCCAAGTTTTACACAAATGTCATTTGGCATCAGTCCTTTCTCTATGTATTGGATGATCTCGTCTATTTTTGATAGGTAGAACAGGCACTAAGACGAATAATAAAGATTTACCGTGAACATGACAATCACAAATATAATGGACAAGGAGAACGGCGAAAAGGAACAGCTAGAACGTAAGATAATTATTTGATAGCATCAAAATCGACCAACCGATTTTTTCACAGGTCCTACTTGGGCATTGCAGATGACTTTGATTGCTTCTTCTATGGCTTCGATGGTTGAATTAGCATATTTTACTGAATAGTAAACTATGTTTGTAACTGTTTTGCACAAATCGCAAGCTTTATCATTGCTGCTACTGGTCACCTCTTTACCGCTTTCCTAAAAAAGCAAATTGCCAAATGATAAGGGAGAGAATGGAAGTTGAATGTTTGCTGTTATTCTTTGATATCATTCAATAGTTATATTGAATGAATCATTTTCCAACCTATGTTGTATGAATTTAAAAGAGAAAAAAAAGTTGACTCTCTCTTCCTCGCAATCCTTTTCCAATCAGAGTTCATATCTTATTTTTGTAGAAATGTGCTGCTAATTCAGTTATAACGAAGACTTATCTGCAAATTCGTACCGAAATCGTCTTTTATCGCCTGATAATCCTACTAGTCCCGTCGGTTCGTCATACGTTCTTCCCAGTTTCCTTTCTTATCTCCATTCGTTTATCCCCTGGCCTTTACTTACCAACAAGCTTTTCAGTGAAGTTGTGCGGGGGCGAAAAATAGGGAGTTTTATTCATGAATATTGCAACCCACCTCATGGAGACAAAGAGCATGCACAAGAAACCTGACAGTTATCATAAAACATTATCTTGTTGATCCCCTAACAGGAAGTATCCAAAGCGTCATACCACTTTATGATATCTCTCAATAACAGTTGGCAAATCTTGGTAGACCTCTGCTGCTTTTCTTGCATAGTAAGACATCAGGTTTCCGGTACGCCTTGACTCAAATGGCAGCACACTCTTCATCTGTTTACAGAAGCCTAATTGGACACATATCTGGCTTACATCCATTCCTTTCAATACCATCTTGAATACCATATCGACATACCCCACTATTTTCTGACACTAGTAATACAAAAAATGTGACAACTTTAATTTGGATGAATTGTCATGCATTGCTAGAAATAAATATGAATTTAGATTGAATGCAAACAGGGGGGAAGGGGATTGCATTGAATATTTGATTAAAGTACTATTTCAAGCCTATATCTTTGTTATTAGAATCTATTCTATATATCGATATTCGCCGATATCAATCAAGTATAATGGTCTTAATTCATTCTACACGATTTAAATGAAAGGGGCCCAATAGGGAAAATAAAAAGACGAGCCTAATCTACAAGAACAGAACATGAATTACCCCCATATTTATAATACTGCGAAGTTCTAACTCTCAACAACAACAACAACAAAAATAGCAACAACAACAACAACAACAACAACGGCTCCTTCGCATGGCCATTTCCGAAGATAACGAGATAGAATAAAAATAAATGTCTTATTGTTACACAAAACGCTAATGCTTGTCTTCAGAAATGAAGCGTGGTGTTTTATTTATCTGAATAGACTTTTACCTCTCCATCTTGTTTTTGGTTTCTAGAAAACGTTGTACAGAACTGATTAACTGAGTCAATAATTTCCTTTTCGGTTTGGTTGAAGGTCTTTATTCCCATAGAGACATAATTCACCACTTGTTTGCAGATCTTACAAGACTTTTCGGATCTTCCTGCCTTCTTTGTGGCAGTTCTTGCTGCTTTTCTTGCATAGGAAGACATCCGGTTTCCGAATGACTTTAGCAAGGCGGTAAGCCTTGTTTCGAATGGCAGCACACTCTCCATCTGATTACAGAAGTCTAATTGGACACATATCTGGCTTACATCCATTCCTTTCAATACCATCTTGAATACCATATCGACATACCCGACTATTTTCTGGCACTAGTAATACAAAAAATGTGACAACTTTAATTTGGATGAATTGTCATGCATTGCTAGAAATAAATATGAATTTAGATTGAATGCAAACAGGGGGGAAGGGGATTGCATTGAATATTTGATTAAAGTACTATTTCCAGCCTATATCTTTGTTTTTAGAATCTATTCTATATATCGATATTCGCCGATATCAATGATATATAAAGGTCTTAATTCATTTTACACGATTTAAATGAAAGGGGGCCCAATAGGGAAAATAAATAGACGAGCCTAATCTACAAGAACAGAACATGAATTACCCCCATATTTATAATACTGCGAAGTTCTAACTCTCAACAACAACAACAACAACAAAAACAGCAACAACAACAACAACAACAACGGTTCCTTCGTATGGCCGTTTCCGAAAATAACGAGATAGAATAATTATAAATGTCCTATTGTAACACAAAACACTAATGCTTGTCTTCAGAAATGAAGCGTGGTGTTTTATTTATCTGAATAGACCTTTACCTCTTCATCTTGTTTTTCGTTTCTAGAAAACGTTGTACAGAACTGATTAACTGAGTCAATAATTTCCTTTTCGGTTGGGTTGAAGATCTTTATTCCCATAGAGACATAATTCACCACTTGTTTGCAGATCTTACAAGACTTTTCGGATCTTACTGCCTTCTTTGTGGCAATTCCTGCTGCTTTTCTTGCATAGGAAGACATCCGGTTTCCGAATGACTTTAGCAAGCCGGTAAGCCTTGTTTCGAATGGCAGCACACTCTCCATCTGATTACAGAAGTCTAATTGGACACATATCTGGCTTACATCCATTCCTTTCAATACCATCTTGAATACCATATCGACATACCCCACTATTTTCTGGCACTAGTAATACAAAAAATGTGACAACTTTAATTTGGATGAATTGTCATACATTCCTAGGAATAAATATGAATTTAGATTGAATGCAAACAGGGGGGAAGGGGATTGCATTGAATATTTGATTAAAGTACTATTTCCAGGCTATATCTTTGTTATTAGAATCTATTCTATATATCGATATTTGCCGATATCAATAAAGTATAATGGTCTTAATTCATTTTACACGATTTAAATGAAAGGGAGCCCAATAGGGAAAATAAATAGACGAGCCTAATCTACAAGAACAGAACTTGAATTTCGCCCAAATTTATAATACTGCGAAGTTCTAACTCTCAACAACAACAACAACAACAACAACAACAACAACAACAACAACAGCAACAACAACAACAACGGTTCCTTCGCATGGCCATTTCCGAAGATAACGAGATAGAATGAATATAAATGTCTTATTGTTACACAAAACGCTAATGCTTGTCTTCAGAAATGAAGCGTGGTGTTTTATTTATCTGAATAGACCTTTACCTCTCCATCTTGTTTTTGGTTTCTAGAAAACGTTGTACAGAACTGATTAACTGAGTCAATAATTTCCTTTTCGGTTTGGTTGAAGGTCTTTATTCCCATAGAGACATAATTCACCACTTGTTTGCAGATCTTACAAGACTTTTCGGATCTTCCTGCCTTCTTTGTGGCAGTTCTTGCTGCTTTTCTTGCATAGGAAGACATCCGGTTTCCGAATGACTTTAGCAAGGCGGTAAGCCTTGTTTCGAATGGCAGCACACTCTCCATCTGATTACAGAAGTCTAATTGGACACAGATCTGGCTTACATCCATTCCTTTCAATACCATCTTGAATACCATATCGACATACCCGACTATTTTCTGGCACTAGTAATACAAAAAATGTGACAACTTTAATTTGGATGAATTGTCATGCATTGCTAGAAATAAATATGAATTTAGATTGAATGCAAACAGGGGGGAAGGGGATTGCATTGAATATTTGATTAAAGTACTATTTCCAGCCTATATCTTTGTTGTTAGAATCTATTTTTATATATCGATATTTGCCGATATCAATGAAGTATAATAGTCTTAATTCATTTCACCCGATTTGAATGAAAGGGTGCCCAATAGGGAAAATAAATAGACGAGCCTAATCTACAAGAACAGAACATGAATTACGCCCAAATTTATAATACTGCGAAGTTCTAACTCTCAACAACAACAACAACAAAAGCAACAACAACAACAAAAGCAACAACAACAACAACAACAACAGCTCCTCCGCATGGCCATTTCCGAAGATAACGAGATACAATAAATATAAATGTCTTATTGTTACACAAAACGCTAATGCTTGTCTTCAGAAATGAAGCGTGGTGTTTTATTTATCTGAATAGACCGTTACCTCTTCATCTTGTTTTTCGTTCCTAGAAAACGTTGTACAAAACTGATTAACTGAGTCAATAATTTCCTTTTCCGTTTGTTTGAAGATCTTTATTCCCATAGAGACATAATTCACCACTTGTTTGCAGATCTTACAAGACTTTTCGGATCTTAGTGCCTTCTTTGTGGCAATTCCTGCTGCTTTTCTTGCATAGGAAGAAATCCGGTTTCCGAATGACTTTAGCAAGCCGGTAAGCCTTGTTTCGAATGGCAGCACACTCTCCATTTGATTACAGAAGTCTAATTGGACACATATCTGGCTTACATCCATTCCTTTCAATACCATCTTGAATACCATATCGACATACCCCACTATTTTCTGGCACTAGTAATACAAAAAATGTGACAACTTTAATTTGGATGAATTGTCATACATTCCTAGGAATAAATATGAATTTAGATTGAATGCAAACAGGGGGGAAGGGGATTGCATTGAATATTTGATTAAAGTACTATTTCAAGCCTATATCTTTGTTATTAGAATCTATTCTATATATCGATATTCGCCGATATCAATCAAGTATAATGGTCTTAACTCATTTTACACGATTTAAATGAAAGGGGGCCCAATAGGTAAAATAAATAGACGAGCCTACTCTACAAGAACAGAACATGAATTACGCCCATATTTATAATACTGCGAAGTTCTAACTCTCAACAACAACAACAACAACAACAACAACAACGGTTCCTTCGTATGGCCGTTTCTGAAGATAACGAAAAAGAATAAATATAAATGTCTTATTGTTACACAAAACACTAATGCTTGCCTTCAGAAATGAAGCGTGGTGTTTTATTTATCTGAATAGACCTTTACCTCTCCATCTTGTTTTTGGTTTCTAGAAAACGTTGTACAGAACTGATTAACCGAGTCAATAATTTCCTTTTCGGTTTGGTTGAAGATCTTTATTCCCATAGAGACATAATTCACCACTTGTTTGCAGATCTTACAGGAATTTTCGGATCTTACTGCCTTCTTTGTGGTACTTTCAATGCAAATTGTGTTGCAGACACGCTGTTTTGCCACACCAGCATTAAGATAGATGACCATCAGTTTTGACATGGCTATTACATCTTTGCACTGCGGAAATTGAACAGAAGCCTATCGTATCAATCAGATACTGGGTTACTTCAAAAACTGTCAGGGTTTAAGACACAAGAAATTTACATTCATCGAGTGCAAGAAACATATTTTCTCCAAAGCTGCTATCAGAAAGCTAACAGCATCTTTGTAACATTTTTTAGGGATACTATTTACAAAAAGTAAGAATTCCCAAAAGCGATTGTATTTAGAAGCAGCTTTTCTCGCAGAAGGGGTGTATCAGCTATATATTTTACACAAACTCAGAGAATTGGCATGTAGATGCGCGCTTCCTCTCGTGGATTTGACCTGATTTTGGCAAGCTGGCTAGAAAGATGCCCTAGAAGGAGAATAGCTCCATTGTTATTGTAGCACATTTAGGGAGCATTATGTTCCCTTATAATTTTTATTCGACATTTGATTCAATTTATGAGATACATCGTTCACAGCGAAATAGCCTGTAATCAGGAAAATTGCATTCTGTGTAGATATTCTTTCATGGTTTTTTACTGCTTTCGAGTTCTGCTCAGCCCTTCATGGCCCAATGCCCTCCTCCACGGTGCGAAATATTGTAAATTTAGCTCCCAGGTTAAAATGGTTGCCCGTTCTGTTGCAAAGCTAAGCCCATCACTTTCTTCAAACGTTAGACTTATCCAAAAAGAAATGCATCTGGACCAAATAATTGCGTCTACCGTGCTCGTTTATCGCAACTTTTGGACAACAGTTGTCACGTGAGGCCTGATTAGTATTAAAAACCAAACCAAAACGATCAAAGCTAGCTCCAATGAAATCTGTTTTGCAAAAGAAGTCGTACATTTTTTATAGATTCAGAGGAAAAACTAAAGAATCTCACCGATTTCTCCATAGGCTGTTTTCTAGCACCACAAATAATTTTGAAAGCCTTCTCAATTCCTTCTGCTGTTGACATGGCATCGCTCGATGAGTCGTATATCGTGTCTCTCAAAACCTGGCAAAGTTGGCAGGGGCGATTTTCTTTCGTCTTCATCTAAGAACAAACGTGAGATATCTGAAAAGCCGTGCGGTTGAGTGGCAGGCAGCGCAGGAAAAGATTTTTCTTCCTGGCAGCAAAATCAAAGTTACAAATTTCCTGCAAAACTTTGACAAAATTTTTTTCCAACTGCAAGTGATATCTCAAGTTTTTTAAAATTCCTTTAAGTTCAGTGTTCATGTTAGAATCACGCAGCGGATTTTTCACGCTAAAGGTTTCTTGCCAGAAAAAAAACAACTTCTGCAAGGCGCTGCCGGACATTTTCAAGCCCTGACTGGCAGACAACTGGAGTATAAATGTCAATCGAGCTAGAACTTGGAATCGGAAGACCCGAGACAAAATGTAGGGAAGCAATCGAAAGATCAGTGTCTTTTGCAAAAGTTCTCATCCAAGCTGTTTTGAAGGTGACTGATTTATTTTAAAAAATTGCTTATGGATGTCATATGATGATCGAGCAAATTGACGACAGAAGAAGCTCGAACGGTTTTTGGACTTTGCCTGCCACACAGAGACTCTTTTCCATTGAATCGATTTCTGAACATTTGTTTTTAAATATTTTCAAAGGTAAACCTAAATGAAGTAGAGGTTCAATCAAATTAGCATTAAGTATGCATCTGCTCACGAAATGGAAAGTTTAGAAAACTACGCAAATCAAGCAGTTTAGTTTAATCCATCTCTAAATAAGCGTGAACATCCAAGGCACATATTGGACAAAAGTCCAAGGTTAGTCACGACTTTTTGAGACATGCCTCTGATCTATTTGAAAGGACAAAATAGGCTGGCACAAATTGCTGCCCCTAACTGTTTTAGATCAAGTTAATGTGATTAAATCAAGTTAAGGTGGTCTTGCATAGCTTCTTGGGCGCCATCAACATAGCCAATGTATTTAATGTATATAGAGTTTTAAAGTGATGCCGTCACAAGAACCTATTTATAAAATTTTTGAATTTGGATAATACTACCTGATATAGCATCATGTGGGATACCTCTAAATGGGGTATCAGTCATATGTGCTTTGCTCTGACCCTATAAGCACAGACTATTTCCCCCTTAAATCATTAAAGTCTTTCTTTAATTGCCTATATCCAATTTTTTTACATATTTGACTGGTTTTCGAAATTCATAAGTTCTTTATAGTGTTCTTCTAGGTAATGTGGTCAAAGGTCAAATATTGTAAAAAAATTATGACGTCATACTTAAGAACTATATCTGTACTAATAAAGAAGACTCCATACCAGCGTTTTGCTTTCCAGAGCAAAAGCAGGAAGTAGTGAAGGTTTTAAGATTCCATCGCAAAACTTCAGCTTGATGCAAATATCCCCGGGTGCAAGACCTTTCAAAACCAACTTGAATATTTCGTCCACATACCCAACTATTTTCTTGCACTGAAATGATAATATAGAAAAATCACAGAAAAAAATGAAAATTTGACAAAATAACTCATATCACGTGACAATACGTGGTCGCTCCCATTTAACACTGTAGCCATCATTTTTTGAGAAACTTTTTAGCCTTTCGTGGCTTTTGGTTTTTAAATGGACCTCAATTTTCCCCACTGTTGCGCTTTTTTGGTGTTTTGAATGTATCTAGAAGGTGAACTTATCATCTTTTCCCTTCTTATATCACTCTATATGGTTTTATTACATTGTGTATATATTACACTGTATATCGGATTTACATTTAAGACATGGGATTTTGCGCCTTCCCCACATATAACAAGGGCAGGGGTGTTCCCTTTTGGCAAAAGAGCGTAAATGTGTGCGGGTTATAAACTTTTTTTATAAGAATCTACTCAATAACAACATTGAGGCTCAAACTCACTTAAATTAACAATTATTTAAGAATAATGCTCAAGCTTCAGGAAGAATACCTACTTTTAGTTGAGCCTCAAAATTCTCAAAGCTTTTGCCCAAAACCTTTGCATTCTTACAGGCACTTAACAAGTTTGGACAGGACAAAACGTGAAAAGTTAGTTTTCTTTAGTGTTTAATCAGCTGTGATTTTAATAACAAATCAAGAAATCCAGTACAAAAACACCTACCTGTTGGACTTTCTTGCTAGACAGGCTTTCACACAAGTGGTTGACGGAGTCGATGATTTCACCTTCTGTTTTTTTAAACATCTTTATTCCTAACGATACGTATTGGACGACCAATTTACAGATTTTGCATGATTTTTCAGACCTCGGAAAATTAATCGCTGTGCCTTTGACATTGGTTTTGCAAGACTTTCGGCATGCGTGGCGTTTTGGGACTCCAGCCTTCAAAAGAACTTGAAGCTCTCTTGAATAGCTGACAATTTTTTTGCACTGTAAGACAAATTTAAATGATTAAAAAAGAAATCCTACCTTTCATTTAAACAAGTCAATGGAAAAAAGGGATTATTCGTGACTTGGCCCACAAAAATAATCTCAGTCCTAGCGCAAGAGTCCTAACCTTATGTAAAAAGTCCCTTAGAATAATATATTTCTGGTATGAGATACGCAACGACTACATAAAGGGAAGGATGCAATAGAGTTCTTAAGTTATGACTTCGCTAAAGTCTGTTTCTAAGATATTTGAATTTGGCTCTTATAACCTGAATAAGCATCATAAAATTCCTTTCAATGAACAGAATCAGTCAAATTTCATATGAATTGGCTGAAAATGATCACATGAGCAAAGGCTCTTCTCCATACCTACATACCCCGGACTCTTTTCATAGCTTTATGAACAACATGGGCTTAATGAACAGAGCAAAAACAACAGTAAACCGTCAGAAAACTTCAAATCTATCACTGGTCATATCTCATCAGATCTTTGACATATTTATATGATCTTGCTTTTCAGAACTATATCATGGTGGTCTTTTAGGATATGTAGTCAAAATTCAAAAATTCTCAAAAAAATAATTTTTTCACGTCATACTCGAGATTTTGATGCCAGTTGATCAATTTGACATGCATTTTGTAGACAGTGCGAATTCTGAAAACCAAAAATGCAAACTGCTAGCATGTGCTGATTTAGCATGTTGGATTAAGGCCAGGGTCCGAGAATGCACAACTACTTGTGAATGTAAGTTGCGGATACGTGCGAATGGTTCGTGGACGCCAGAAGGGAACTGTCTATAGACACAATTATATGTTAATGGTTTTTATTGTTATTGAAAATCGTATTTAAACTCGTAGCCTTAGTAAAATAGGGCAGTTGGGTTCGAGGTCTCAAGGCTGAGCTGCTGATCGCCGTAGAATACTGAAAGATCAAGTTCGACCGAATATCAAGATTGTAAGTCTCTTTTATAAAGTTTACCTTTAGAAGTAACTAGGTTAACAGTACCATATTTTAGACGCCAAACCTTTTGTTTAGTGATAACACTGCAACGTTCAAAGCAACAGCCATCTAGCTTAAAGGCCTCTTTGAACACCCTGAATTCCAGGAATATCTTCAAAAGGTCTTTCTAACATGGAATTTCAACTTGAGTCTTGCTCCATGGTGGGGAGGAAATTATGAAAGATTGGTAGAAATGGCCAAAACGATCTTAAAGAAAATGTAAGGAAAATCCGCGTTGACATATGCAGACGCACGGCATACTAAACAACCGTCCTTTGACGTATCTTGGTGAGGGACTCGAAGAGGAAGCAATAACCCCAAACCACCTAATATTTGGGCGGGCACTTCCAATGATGCCTGAAGTACCTGAAGACATTGTGAGAAAAGATAACGACACAGTAAAGCGCTTCAAGCATGTGGAGGCAGCGCTGGACAGGCTATGGCAGCGATGGAGCAAAAAATACTTGCTTGGACTTCGTGAACACCACAAGCCCAAAAAATTAGAAGATTCTGGAAACTATGATTTAAAACCTGGAGACATTGTCCTGATAGAAGACAACAGTGTTCATAGAGAGATATGGAGGAAGGCCATCGTCAGGAGACTGATAAAAGGTAGAGACAATGTCGTCCGTGGGGTGGAGATAGGAGTGATCATAAGCGGACATAAGAAGAGGTTAGAGAGAGCTCTACAGCATGTGTTCCCTCTGGAGATGCAGGCTGATGTTGTTGAGGAGACGAAGCGATCAGAACCATCAAAAGATGTTCGACGTTCCACAAGGGTATCATCCATGAATGCAAAAGCAAGGATCAGCATGATATCAGAAGGGCTCAATCAAAGTTCTCTAATTGACGAGGGAAGTGTGTGCTGAGTTAGCATGTTGGATTAAGGCCAGGGTCCGAGAATGCACAACTACTTGTGAATGTAAGTTGCGGATACGTGCGAATGGTTCGTGGACGCCAGAAGGGAACTGTCTATAGACACAATTATATGTTAATGGTTTTTATTGTTATTGAAAATCGTATTTAAACTCGTAGCCTTAGTAAAATAGGGCAGTTGGGTTCGAGGTCTCAAGGCTGAGCTGCTGATCGCCGTAGAATACTGAAAGATCAAGTTCGACCGAGTATCAAGATTGTAAGTCTCTTTTATAAAGTTTACCTTTAGAAGTTACTAGGTTAACAGTACGTTGCACATATTTCTTAGGCTATCTACCGTAACTAGTTCTTTAGTATCTATTGTAGGTTTAGGAATTGCCAACCCTTTGTAGGAATTATTTTCGTAATACATATTCGTATCGTTTAGGATATCTTAGGAACAACCCTCACTTAAGTATCGCATTAGTATACCATTGCTACACACCCCATAGTATTCAGTAATATTCTCTGTACTTGTTGTATACCACCGCTAGTGTTGCACAATCTCCCTTTTTACACAAGTTTTATGCTAGCGTGCCTTGAGAAATTATATTATCCAGAAATTAAATTATATTCAGTACATTGTTGATAGATAACAGTGATTTAAAGTTGTGTTGAATTAAATTCATTTGAGACATTAGAATTTATTAGATGTTAGGTTATGAATATTGTTGGGACATTACACATCTTTTTTGTTTGCAAATAGATATTGTTTATTTTCGTAATACTCTTCAAGCGAGAAATAGGTTTAGTTTTTAGGGATATTCTTTCGCTCTGTAATACAGTTCTCTTAGCGTTGTTATCGGTCAAAGTGTTAGCCCGGATTCCCGACAAGCAACGTGGCTTACTTGAAACACAGAAGATCTTTCTATTCTGTACTTATAGCTAGCAATTGTCTTTTCAATGCTTTACCAGTAATAAACGCCTTCGAAAGCATTGCAGTTTGAATATTCGCTTTGATCAACCAGCAAAAACTGGCAATCTAAGCACGTGAACATCTTCCAGCTGGTGTTTCAATTTTCACTGCAGCAACAAACAAGTCTTGTTAAATTTTTTATAAGAAAACACTCCTCGAGGAAATGCTTTTTACAACGTAAGAACCTACCCTCCCTCCAATGCAAAGTTAAAGGCATTTGCGCAACCAGCATGCTTAGCGGCAGCTGTCTTTAAAATTTATCGTGTTTCGCATCTTAATGCATTACGAAATTAGGACAGTTTTGAAAATATAGTCGCAAAGCATGTCGGTTGCCCAAGAGCCTTTAGAGGCGAAAACGATATGCATTAAAAGTTTTGTCTAATGTTAACAAAACAAAGCAGATTTTAGCAAATTGTTTCCCTTGCTGTTTTCCCGCTAAATTCTTTATTCCCTGCTTAATTTATTCATTCCTCCCAGAGTCCAGAAGACATAACATCTTCCATGGAGGTTAAAAGTTTTCAATTTTCTTCGATATCCAGCGGAGTCGTTGATTTGGGTGGGCGGGGTGTAAATTTTGACAGTTTACCACTTTCAAGCAACTTGGCGACATGACATTTTAAGCACCTGAAAACCTCGAAATGACTCCCTATTTTGCTTATTTGGGTCATCTTTTTACATAGACTATATATAGGTATGCATTGACTTTATTTAGATATACACAGACGACATACATAGACAATATTTAGATATATTTAGCTATATTTAGATAATTATTCCCACTATAATTTCTCTATCAGATTGCCAGCTGTGTTTGGATTAGGAGGAAAGAAAAAGTTTGCTTTGGAACAATTGCCCACTGACCGTAATCCAGTCACAGCCAGGCCACAGAAGGGGAACTCCTGCCTATCAGATTAAGCCTGAAAAAACTTGCGCATGCGTTAATTTTTACGAGGCTAAGCATGCAGCTGTCGGGGAAATTTTAAAAAAGAATGAAAGTAGACAACTTTATTTGAGACGAAATGCCCCATGATAGTGAACAAATTCAATCATGTATCATAATTCGTTCATATCTGATTAATGAATGATAATTTGTCATGGCTAAGTTCGTCTAATGAAATCGAGGTTAAAAGGGAATTCTGTTGTTGACTTAGACTTCAAAAACAACAAAGGAACCGACGAGAGTTACTCTTCTGCTTATTTCCTATTCTGTGGCCATCTGAGCGGGGATTTCAAAGCTGAAACATGCTTTCATGCATGGCTTGTAAAGATTTCAATAGTTCTATGCAAAGAAGCGAAAGAAAAGACATAGACATCATAGTCTTAACTATTCCCAATCAAAGGAGGGGGTGGGGGGCTGTAGTAGCGCTATTCACAAAGCACCATGGCACTCTAGATTCGCGAACTTATTTTCACAGGGCTGACCTCCATTTCATACAAATATCTGACACCTATTTCCAATTTCCTTGTCTTGAGCTTTGATACTTCTACTACAATAAATGCGAGTCATTTGATACTGAAAACGATTATCGTAGATAGCGAGTGTGTTAGGAGGATTATTAATGTCAGCGCCAGCCATTAGATTCTGGGAGAGGGAGAGGGGGGGTTGGGACAAAACAGGAACTCTTAAGCAACGTCATTTTTGCCACCAGAAAACGCCCTTTTACCAATAAGGACGCCCATTCAGCCTAAAGGGAACGCCCATGACTAACTTTTGGCTACGTAAAGCAGTTTTACAATGATAGGATTTCATTACAAAAAGCACTTTGCCAAAATATTACCCCTCCCCCAACATTTTCTCATCGAATTTAGACGTAATAAAAATTGACCCTGCCGAGAACTGGAGCACAGAACAGAAATGACTATTCTATTCTGTGACTGGAGGGACGTGTCCTCCCAGTTTCCTCCGTGCCGCAGGTACTGAGTACAAGTCAAATCTGATCTTTACTGATGTTATGGGTAGGGGTGTACCGCGAGGACAATCAGAGTGGTACCGTTTGCTAGAATCATTTTAAGATAATGATACCATACCAATGGCTAAATCAATTTTTCAAAAAGGGTGCTTGCAGCACATCTCCGGGTACCATAACTGTTGAAGACGCCCCGCCCCCTGTGGTTTCAATATTTTGACTCATTATTTGGGTTTGCAAAAGTAAAATCAACAGGCGAAGGAGAAACGGAGGTAAATATTCTCTAAGTAAGTTATTTTAGATTTTATGAGTCTCTTCTAATTGTGCCACCAGGTTGCCACCGAAAGGCATCTATTCTTATGAAACAATGGGCACCAAACATCAAACCGCAAAGTTTCAAACCTGCACATTTGATAGCAACCTGGATGAAGCGTCTTTTTAAAACGGCTACCTTTAAAACCAGAATACGGAATCCGGAATCCTATTTTTATGCTGATCAAATGAAATTTTATCAGAGTTAATTTCACGAGTGACGTTATAGAACTTGATTTCGCTGAGGTTTTAATTTTAGCTTATTTGTATTACTCTCATTTGGTTGTCAATTGTCATGCTTCAATTTGGTATTTAAGTCTTTATGCGCTTCTTTGATGCCATTGGGAATAATAGAGATTGAAGGAGTTTTATAGTTTGAGCTTCTGCGCGAAAGTGTGGGTTCCTTGACTCAGATGGGTGTATTAAATTGCTTTAGGTCGGAATTATCGTGCTTACTTTGTATGCTGTTCTCTTTTTCCGTCCCTCCCCCCCCCCCCTTTTGATCTCAGGCATAGTGTGTTTCTTCTAATACTCATTCTATTGTATTAGGCTAGGGCCTGTTAACATCATGGATTCATTTCAAAGTTCTTGTTATTTTTCTTTTAGAAAAGACTGGGCTTTTAATTCAGTCATGTTTTCTCTTCCCCTCTCATATCTTAAGCCCTGGCCAAACGAGCCAACATTTCGCCCAGCATTTAACCCAACATATTTCCCAACAATGTTGGGAGTTGTTAGGAAGGCTGGCCAGCGCTTTTCTCAATTGCTAAAAATAGACTATGACGTCTTTGCGCAAAGCAAGATTGGATAGAATTGCGGACAAACACAAGCTAGGCAAGTTTTGGTAATTTCATGTGGAATAAATTGTGTTCAAATACTGCTTTGCTTATAATCATGGCTACGAAACACTTTGGCTGGGGTCTATGTAAGTCGGATTCAAGGTATCCAAAACGTATGCCATGTGGTACTTCATTTATTAGGTTTGCCAAGCCGGGAAAGATCCGTGAAGATATGACAGAGTGGGAGAAGCGAAGGGCAAACGAACAAACAATGAAGGTGAAACGTTGGATGCATGCCTGTGGTCAAAAAGACTTCAACAAATTTCAGCAGATCACGAAAGACACCTACATATGTTCATTGCACTTTATTGGTGGGAAGGACCAACAGAAGGCAAGCCAGACCCGATTCTTGCCTCATTGACGGAGAAGAAACAAGAGGGGCGAATTAAGAGAAAAAAACTCCTAAGAGATCGGGATGAATGCCCAATTTTGACCAAGAAAGGGAAAATTCGTTTAGTGATCAAGAAATATGTAGTCTTGAATCGTCAGAGGCCACTTTAGGACAGTCATTTATTGATGACTCAGAAGGACAGCGCGTTTTCAACACCAGTGCTGTACATCAAGGCCCCCAGACAGTGTATGACAAGTATATTCTTGGTGCCCAAATCGAAACAATGATATTAAGAAACAAAACAACAGTTTCACATTCAGATGATAAGGCAGATATTCAACTTAATACAATGTCTCCTGAATTGATCTTGAAGGATAAGAAGAAGGCCAAGTATTTTATAGGGCTTTACCCTGAACACTTTGAAATCCTGATCAGTTTCTAGGTCCTGCAAAATTCAACCTTCAATACTGGTATGGCAATAGGAAATCAGAGAAGGATAGTTATGGTGTACAAAGCGTTGCAGGATCAAAATAAAGTCAAAATAGGAGCTTTACAGTCAAAGAGGAGTTATTTATTACCCTTTTGAGGCTAAGACGAGGATTTGCATTGAAAACCATATCATACATTTACAATGTATCAGAATCTTTTGTCAGTAGCATTTTTAACACATGGATCCAATTTATGTTTCTACAGTTCAAAGAATTGAAATATTTGATGTTCCCAAGCAGGAAAACTTTACAAAAGTGTTTAAAAGTTTCAAAAACATCAGATGCTCCTTTGACTGTACTGAATTTTTTGTGGAAACCCCAAGAAACTATGCACAACAAGGAAATGTATACTCCTCCTACAAACATCACACAACATTCAAAGCCCTCATTGCTGTTACCCCAAATGGTGCAGCTTGTTTTGTTTCTGATTTGTATGAGGGTAGCATTGATGATGTGTCAATTACAAAGAAATGTGGTATTATTGATCATATTGAGCATGAGGATGTTGTTTTGGTTGACAAGGGATTTACTATTCAAGACTTGTTAAATCCTAAACATGCATCAATAAAAATTCCAGCATTTCTGGCCAAGAGAGAATGTTTAAAAAAAGAAGAAGAGATAGACACCACGTTAATCACTAAGCTAGGATACATGTGGAAAGGTTCAATGAACGTTTGAAAAATTCAAGCTCATTGGAAACATTATCCCATTGTCACTTAATCATATTGCATCACAGATGGTGTTTGTAGCATGTTGTCTTGTGAACTTTCAGCCAGCACGTTGCATATAAGTTAATCTTCCAGGAAATGTTTCAAGAACCCATTTACATTTTAACATTAAAGTCATTGTTAACTTTGATAAAACAATCTTAAATGGAGAAACTTCCTTTTTTCTGATTTTATTTCATTAAAATGGGGCCATCTATTTAGTATGAATAGCGTAATGAGATGGTGGGATATAGCAAATCTTTAGTCAGTTTTTTGATATGATGACATTTCTTTTGCATTAAAACGAAAATGGACCACCTCAAAAGAAAGCAAGACAATAAATTACTCATCAAGCTCGTTTGTAAGATACATATTTCAAAACTAATTCAAGTGAATATCACAAAAGCCAGTGACTGCCTTGTATGCATCCCTTGCTGCTGCTTCTTTTCATACTCCAACTCCATAATCCATATCTTTGGTTGTTATATGTTTGGGGAACCAAAAGTTATTCTGTATCCAGTTATAAAACTGCCCTAAAAGATCCTGCCTTTTTTCACATAGAAGCTTCACCCCACAAGAATAGGCTCTTTTGCATTTGGAAGCTGTAATGCGGAATCTTTGTTCTTCAAGCCATCTTAATGATGCACTTGGCTCTATTGTTCCTGATATTTCTGTATACTGTACCTGGTCCTCTGTTCCTGTGAACACATGTTTCAAAGATTCCTCAAGATCATTAACAAGAGTTTTCAAAATAGCTTTCCTTTCTTCTTGGAGGGGGTAGTCTTCATATTTCATTCTTAATGACAATTCCCACATTGAAATTTCCTTTGTTTTGGAACTACAAGTTTGGAGATTCCTAAGGAATGAATTAGCATGTTCATTACCAAAGTTGTTTTGATACCTAAGTGGTCGTGCCCATACAAACTCATACAAATTGGGTTTTGAAGCCTTCTTTGACTCATAAGTGGCACAATGCACCACAGTTGGGTTTTTAGCTCTTTTCTTGCCACGATTCCATTGGCATGGCTTTGAAGTGGAAGGAGCTTTGACCTTGGTGCCATTAACTTCAATAAATTGAACTATTTTCAACAAAACGGCAAAAAAATGGGCGCATCTACCGAATGCTGAAGCCTTACAGGTACATGAGGCCTGCTGAACTGACCCACTGTTATGACTGAGGACAATAACAACTGCAACGTTTTTCATTGAATGATGCACATGAGCTTTTCAGAAATAATAATTGTCATCAGTATAATCAAGCATATCACACACAAAGCCACTTTTTATAAGATTCAAGCCTTGTCTTGCAGTAGTAGTGTAGCCTGAAGTGTCTGGAAAGTTTCTGTCATCATTTTCCGTCTCACTTGAGGTATTCTCGCTTAGGCCGAACTGCGAAACTGACTCAATAAGATACTGATACACATGGCCATAGTTAAACATCCCTGAAATATCGGCAGTTGGAAAGTTTCCCTAATCCTCCACAGGTATATCTATGTTTCTGGGTTGCATCGATGATTGTGTTTGCCTTTCTTGCCCTTTCTTTTTGTACCACTTTCCATGATCAATCTTCGGATCAATACCTTTCTTGAATGCAATACATGATCTTACTCTGTCGATAAGATCCTGTTTTCTTCCAGATTTCTTTTCGCCATGGCATTCTAAATAGCGTTTGAGTTCGAGAACAGAATATTCCGCAGGATCTCTGTTGAAATGTGCACCTGGAACACCCAGCTCTGAAAGCACAAGTTCTTTCATTTTAAAAGGCTGATCACCTACGGCAGCAGTTGCACGACTACTTACCCTTTTTTGATGAGCTTGATTTTTCGAATAAAAGGAATTTTGTAACCGCGATCCAAAGGTAAACAACATAGGTCGCGCACAGATCTTACAGCAAGTACCTGGAGTTCAAAACTTTTTGTCCGCAAACCTATCCCAGCATGCAAAGCGTCATTTTGACGTGACGTCATTTGAGAAGGGAGCTATTCGCCCAACATTTAGCACAACCGTTTTTGGGATACTCGGATTGAGTCCAAGACAACCTAAGCCTGCCTTCCCTGATCTTGAAAGCAACGCTTTTCTTTTCCCCAAAACTCTATTCATCTCCTTTACGGCTTCGTCGTACTCATCTTTACTCACTAAATCTCTTTCTTCGTACTCTTCCATTATCCAATATTCTTCAGTCGTTCAAATCAATTCTACGCTCTTCATTTTAAAATTTTGATCTCTGCTTCACGAACTCGAGCTTGGCGCGCAGCGCGTTTCACTTTTAAAAATTGTTTACAGCGCTTGCGTGAAGTCAACAAATGTTGGGCAACCCGGCCAAACAAGCCAACAAAGCCAAACAGCACCTTGAACAATAGGGATTATTTTAATTACCATCCAACAACCGCCAACATTTTTGACCAGTTTCAAATCGATCCAACGATTCAGCCAACATCTTTCCCAACAATGTTGGGTGACCCAACATGGTGGCCAAACGACCCAACATTTGAGCCAACATGCGAACAGAGCGTGTTGGTTGAAATGTTGGGTGAAGTGTTGGCTCGTTTGGCCGGGGCTTTAGGTATCTAAGGTAGGGCTGGTGCGTCGGATTTATGGTGGGAAAAAGTGAACTTTTTTTGTCCATTCCCTGCCCAGAACTTTAAGCTGCTTGTACTTGAGTCTATTTAAGCTATATCGAAGATTAGCATTTTGTATGGGTTAGGTGAAGCAACTTGTGCCGATGCGCTAACGGCCCAGAATTCAATCCAACTTTGGCGTGATTTTTTGGATTCGGTCCTCCCTATTTTGACAAAATGGCATTATTGGCAAATAATGGGGTGTGTAAACAGAAGTTTTCTATAATAAGGCCATTTTAAATTTGGTTGAGTGTGCAATTTTTTAATTTTGGCATATCTAAGAGCATAATGTATGTACCCGCATATATAAAAACTTTTTTGTGTTTTTAATCGTGTTTTTAATCGACTAATGTCTAGAAGCTGACTTTTATGTATTGTTTTTGGCTGAACTTTCAGGAAATCAGTAATAAAAAATAAACTAGATGCCTTTGAAAATAAACCCGAAATTAGAAAAAATAGTAGAAAAATATTCTGGAACCAGGGGCGGATCTAGACGTTCGCACCGTTCGCACATGCGACAGTCGAAATTTTTAAAATTATACTAAGAATCCGTATCGAAAGAGGTTTTTCCTGAACAACAACTTTCTTGCTTATTGGCAAATTTCGTGTAAATTTTTTCTATTTGGTTCGTTCTGAAAATTCATTGCAATGATGTTTTTTCATTTTTTTGCGTGGCCTGGTTTGTCATCTTGTACCATAAACAAATCGAGAGAGACGACTCGAATTTTTGCTGGATTATGAAAGGAAAACCGTGTCAATACGCTTAAGAATTTTAAGTTGTTTCTTGCTTTACGGTCGGCTAAGAAATAACGCAAATGATTCTGTGATATCAATTGAAAACTCAGATAAGGAATAAACAACAGTTTGACCATGTTCTAAATAAAAGCCAATTTAATGTGAGTGTCGACTGCTCAAAAGAGCAGGGGGCCAATGATATTTCCGACCGCACCCTTGTGTGCAACAGTCAGAATGCTTTCTAGATCCCCCCCTGTCCGGAACTGATATCTACTAACAGAAGTCAAATATAAAGATTATTAATATAAAGATTTGCACAAAGTTTACAAGAAACTATAAACAGTTCTGTGGCAACCACTCTAAAAGGGAACAAAAGAAGAGATAAAGGGAACAAAAGAAGCCCAAAAGGCTGCCGTAAACTTCCTTGTCGCTGTCTGACTCCATGACAGACTCATTTGCGGAAGAACGCCGTAGTATGAGCAAAAGCGCATTTGACAGTTTATGTGTCCTTGTGGTGCGATGATGACAGTCAACTGTGATCAACTAATGTCTCATCGGGGTGAAACCCTTCTGGTCCGTTTTTATTTTAGTATTTTAGGGTCCTAGGTCTCAGGGTCTTTACGGTATGCCCTTAACGACAATGAACGCCAAGCTATGAAGCTACACTTACTTCGTCACTGTCGCTGCTAATAACACTGTTTATGCACATCTTTTTTGCTTCTTCGGCAGGCAAAACGTCAGGGCCAGCTCGTTTGAGTTGATCTGTAAATGCCAAACAGTTCTGCAAGCACTTCTGTTCATTGTGTGTTTTTGCAACGGCAGTCGCTAGGCAAAAAGCCATAAACCAAACAAGTGTCATCTTGAAAGTTGCTTATGTCTGTTGCCACTGCACCACGTCCTGTTAGCTTGCCACCTTCCCTCACCCACTGACAATAACTGGTACCCTATTCTGTGGCGAAGCTCATTTAATTTAAGCCTGTGTCACAGACCAATGAAATTCTCAATTGAATCATGTGACCCGCTTATCTCATATTGTTCATGCGGAGGAAGCTACTGAAAACAATAAGACTGTCGACCGTGTACAGCTGTTGTGTTGTTTTGGGAGTGGCGTGCTGGAAATTAGATTGTATACTGCTTTGTGCTTTGCCTTGCAACACACATCATGCTTCGAAGCGTCCGCATCGCCACCCCTTACTTGTGTTGCTCAGCATTCTAGTTTAATGGTTCCTACCAACAAAGTTACACAGGAAGTATATTTCGAATTTCATTTTGCTTGTTACTTAGTAACACATTTGTATTCTCTCGGCATTGTTTCTTTTAATCCTGGAGGAAGCTACTGAAATCAATGTGACTGTTGACCGTGTACAGCTGTTGTGTGGTTTCAGCAGTGGCGTGCTGGAAAGGAAGTGGTTTCAGCAGTGTCGTCCAGGCCGGGATCGATGCCAAACTGGTACGGATCGGCCTTCCGTTTACACGGGAACGCTCGGGATCGATCCGCCATCCGTGCTAATTTGGGTTCGCTTTGAAAAGCGTTCCAGTTTGGGATCGATCCAGTTTGCGATCGATCCCGTCTCGTGTAAACGCTAGAAAAGGTGGGATCGATCCTACCCTGGGTACCAGACTCACTATATATGAAATAAAATAGAGAGTCTGGTCTAGTGCGCCCCATTCTCGTTCTGGTGTGCTGATATTAACCAATCAGGAGCGAGTGTACAGATTTCTGTACGTTCAAAGGTCAGAGCGAAACAATAAACGTAGCTCTGGTGTAAAACATTGAACAGAACAATCTTCTTCAATCTTCAATCGTTAACTTCTAAAGGCTATACAACCAATCTGGAGTATAAAAAAAAAGAAAAAAGAAATTGGAAAAGGAAAATTAACTTAGGAGTAGGAATACCATTTCCTCCCAGCGCTCCAGTTTGTTAATTTCTACAAAATGTTGCAACATAAATAAATGCTAGCGACCGTAACGATTGAGTTTGACACAAGTAAATCAGTTATGGCTAATATTTCGCCCGGCATACGGGGCTTCGCTTGTCGTATTGGCCATATTTGCTGTGATGAACTTCCAACGTGATGATTCAAACCGCCGCGGTGTCTAAACACGCTGCCTTCACAGTGAGGAAGTAGACTTTGAAAGTACACACAATTTATGAGGAAAATTACAAAAGACTTATTTTAAGTTGTATACGAAATTTAACAATGATAACATTTAGTAACTGCATTGTGCTAACTTTAATTTCATGCTTCGCACATGTTTTTTGCTGCCAAATGGCGTTTTAAACCTGATTTGATTGGAATCTTGAGGCAGAAAAGTCTATTATCACTGTATTAATAATGTCGACTTTACCGAACTATATAAAACACATTTGCTTCAAGATTTCCCAAAACTCCTCTGACTACTGAGTATCTTTGTTATTTATCTGACAGTCTTGTTTCACAGGCCCAGTCTGTTAAATAGACTTCAATTCTTTCAAGTAAGTTCACCAGAACGAGAATGGGGCGCACTAGACCAGACTCTCTCTTATTTTATATAGCGAGTCTGGTACCCAGGGTAGATCGATCCCAAATTAGCACGGATAGGAAACGAGGTGCTTTGTCCTAATAAATTATCCAACTGGAGGTGCTTTGAACATGGTGCTTCGAGCTTTTTTCTACACTATTTTGCGCGCCTTTTCGTTTTTCGCCCACCAGAAGAGAAAAACAAAACAATATGGAGGAATTTTTATTTACAATTTTATTAACAAATTTAGCGAACAGGCTTCAACTTATGGGAATGATTTATTCTCGACGTCTCCTGTTGGAAACCCTTCACCCTCTTCCTCCTCATTTGGGTAGGCCGCGTTAAAGTTTTTATAGATGTCATCATACTTAGAACGAATAGGCTCCCAGTCCTGGCCATCGTCTAACTTCGGAGTTTTGTACTCCAGCGTGATCTTCAGGACTAGGGACGTTTATTTGTCGCTCTAATTAAACATTTTGGTACCACTTTACGAATTAGAAGCCATTTTGTTGTCAATCTTCCTACAAAGTTGGCGCTATCAACGCAATTTTCTTTGTGTTGCTATTGACATAAGCAATACGCATGTGCGTTCCTCCCTAAGGGCCGATCTGCGATCGATCCCGTGTAAACACATAATGTTTTAGGATCGATCCCGTGTAAACGCGAGCGAAATTTACGGATCGATCCCGTTTCTCCCGTGTAATAGGTATTTCGATCGATCACGATATCATTTATTTGTCCCTTGAGCTATACTATTTTGTTGCACAATCATGTACTTAGATTCTAACACAATTAGTTCAGATCGTTTTATGAGAGCGCTTGTGAAAGGTTCTCTGATTAGTCTGAAATTACGGTTTACTTGTAAAAGCATTTCGTGGGTATTGTTTGTTTGAAACCATGAAAAAGGACAAGCACAGCTTGTCAAAACTAAGAAATAACAGTGTAATAGCAACCTCAACCAGATCACACTGGGCCCTCTCACAAAATCTTGTGTCTCTTAGAGATCTTGGATCCAGGTTGTTGTTAGAACAGTATACCCAACTTGAAAGGGGCCTGTGTCAGTATACTATACTGCTATATATAACATATACAAACATGTATACATGTTGTCTTTTGTAATTCTGAGTCCTTGCTAGCTCATCAGCCAATCCACCAGGTAGAGCATTTCGGAGCCTATGATCAGTATGCTCCTTCACACCTGGGTGGCCCCTCACTCCTGCATCCAGGGATGATGCCAGAAATGGTGTATCATTGTATCGAGGTGTTGTATAGAAAAGAATGCGATATCCGCGTTCATGTATATCCAGTTTATTCATGTAGCCTCGCCATGGAGGTATATATACATTAAAATTGTGACATCGATACATCGACATATGTGTATACAAATAATCGTGTACCAAAATGTGGGTATAGGTATTTTGTGCATAATGATATTGCGGTTATTGAGCCAATGTGTATAGATCCACATTGACATGGTGACATCCATACATCGACACATTTATATAAAAATAATCGTGTACCAAAATGTGGGTATAGGTATTTTATGCATATAGATATTGCGGTTATTCTGTCAGTGTGTATAGATATACTTGACTCAGACGGGTTAATTTAATTGCTTTGGTCAGGATTATCATGCTTACTTTGTATGCTGTTTCCACGCTGTTCTCTTCTTCCGTCCCTCCCTCCCCTTTTGATCTCAGGCGCAGTGTGTTTCTTCTAATACTTATTTATTCTATTGTATTAGGCTAGGGCCTGTTAACATCATGGGATTCATTTCAAAGTTCTTGTTATTTTTTTTAGGAAAGACTGGGCTTCCAATTCAGTCATGTTTTCTCTTCCCCTCTCATATCTTAAGCCCTGGCCAAACGAGCCAACATTTCGCCCAACATTTAATCCAACATCTTTCCCAAAAAAGGTTGGGAGTTGTTAGGAACGCTGGCCATTTAGCACAACCGTTTTTGGGATACTCGGATTGAGTCCAAGACAACCTAAGCCTGCCTTCCCTGATCTTGAAAGCAATGCTTTTCTTTTCCCTAAAACTCTATTCATCTCCTTTACGGCTTCGTCGTACTCATCTTTACTCACTAAATCTCTTTCTTCGTACTCTTCCATTATCCAATATTCTTCAGTCGTCCAAATCAATTCTACGCTTTTCATCTTAAAATTTTGATCTCTGCTTCACGAACTCGAGCTTGGCGCGCAGCGCTATTCACTTTTAAAAATTGTTTACAGCGCTTGCGTGAAGCCAACAAATGTTGGGCAACCCGGCCAAACGAGCCAACAAAGCCAAACAGCACCTTGAACAATAGGGATTATTTTAATTACCATCCAACAACCGCCAACATTTTTGACCAATTTCAAATCGATCCAACAATTCAGCCAACATCTTTCCCAACAATGTTGGGTGACCCAACATGGTGGCCAAACGACCCAACATTTGAGCCAACATGCGAACAGAGCGGTTGGTTGAAACGTGTTGGTTGAAATGTTGGGTGAAGTGTTGGCTCGTTTTGCCGGGGCTTTAGGTATCTAAGGTAGGGCTGGTGCATCGGATTTATGGTGGGAAAAAGTGAACTTTTCTTGGCCATTTCCTGCCCAGAACTTTAAGCTGCTTGTACTTGAGTCTATTAAGCTATATCAAAGATTAGCATTTTGTATGGGTTAGGTGAAGCAACTTGTGCCGATGCGCTAACGGCCCAGAATTCAATTCAACTTTTGCGTGATTTTTTGGATTCTGTCCTCCCTATTCTGACAAAATGGCATTATTGGCAAAAACAATACATTAAAGTCAGCTTCTAGACATTAGTCGATTAAAAACACTCTCTTGTGTATAAGAAACCAAATTGTCTTATGAAAAAATTTCTTTATATGCGGGTACATACATTATGCTCTTAGATATGCCAAAATTAAAAAATTGCATACTTAACCAAATTTAAAATAGCGTTTTTATAGAAAACTTCTGTTTACATACCCCATTATTTGCCAATAATGCCATTTTGTAATAAAAAATAAACTAGATGCCTTTGAAAATAGACCCGAAATTAGAAAAAATAGAAGAAAAATATTCTGGAACCAGGGGCGGATCTAGACGTTCGCACCGTTCGCACATGCGACAGTCGAAATTTTTAAAATTATACTAAGAATCCGTATCGAAAGAGGTTTTTCCTGAACAACAACTTTCTCGCTTATTGGCAAATTTCGTGTAAATTTTTTCTATTTGGTTAGTTCTGAAAATTCATTGCAATGATGTTTTTTATTTTTTCGCGTGGCCTGGTTTGTCATCTTGTACCATAAACGAATCGAGAGAGACGACTCGAATTTTTGCTTGATTATGAAAGGAAAACCTTGTCAATGCGCTTAAGAATTTTAAGTTGTTTCTTGCTTTACGGTTGGCTAAGAAACAACGCAAATGATTCTGTAGTATCAATTGAACACTTAGATAAGGAATAGGCAACGGTTTGACCACGTTCTAAATAAAAGCCAATTTAATGTGAGTGTCGACTGCTCAAAAGAGAAGGGGGCGAATATCCTCAAAAACTTTGGGTGTGGTTACGAATGATATTTCCGACCACACCCCTGTGTGCGACAGTCAGAAAACTTTCTAGATTCGCCCCTGTCTGGAACTGATATCTACTAACAGAGGTCAGCTTCAAAAATTCTCCGCATATTAAATAAATTTTTTATCATCAATTTTTATAATCCAATGCCAGGGGTTTTCAGGATGCATTTTTTAATATAAAGATTTATGCAAAGTTTGCAAGAAACTATAAACAGTTTTGTGCCAACCACTCTAAAAGGGAACAAAAGAAGCCCAAAAATCTGCCGTAAACTTCCTTGTCGCTGTCTGACTCCATGGCAGACTCATTTGAAGACAGCAGCTGATGTGGATAATTTGCGGAAGAACGCCGTAGTATGAGCAAAAGCGCATTTGACAGTTGATGTGTCTTTGTGGTGCGATGATGACAGTCAACTGTGATCAACTAATGTCCTATCGGGGTAAAAACTAGGGTTGCCAGATTGGCCTTTTTCAGGCCAAATTTT